TAAATATATACTCTTGATATGATGTTTTAATATTGATTACTTTTGTCAGTTTGCTGTTGTTTACAAGGCCCGAAACAACCAGGATGTGAACCGAGAAGAAATCATTAAAACACTTGCTTCACTGGTAACTATGAACGGGGACTACCCTCATCGAGTAGATCTTCTTAATCCTGATCTCACCATTGTCGTGGAAATAGTGAAGGTCATACTAAAGCACTTGTGTGTTCACATTAAAGGAACAGACTTAGGCTTTGTAACTAAGAAGTCTGATTCTATGCTTCTTCAATTTAATGGCAGAGGGAGGGGATAGAGAGCGAAAGACACACAATGTGCCAAATGTTGTGGAGAGAAGCAAAGTGGTAAAAGCTGTTAAGTATGCACTCTGAGAGTAGCACAAGCTGTGAACATAGTGTGTAACCCTGGCAACTTATTAACCCTCAGTGTGCACTTTCAGGGAGGGTTAAAGTAGTTGACGTTCCTTGCGCAGAGGGTTAGCAGTTCGTATTGCTACCTCGTTTGTCCTCAGAGTGGAAGCTTTAGAGCAAGTTTGATACCGGCAGATTCTTATATATAGCTCTCCTGCATAAGTAGTATTCACTTACTAGTAATCAGGCAATTCTGTTTTTGATACGTCACAGGGTAATTTTTGTGTCAGTGTTGTAAAAGACTTCAACAAACTCAAAAGGTACAATATCCAGTCAATCGTGGGACTATCAGGAGATAAAGCTGAAGGAAACACTGAAGTAAAAGAATCCGAGAACTAACTTGCACATTAGCTGCTAGTTGTACTTGCACCATTAGGGATAGGGAATTTTGTTCATCTCTTATCTAAGATTGACCTTGATTATGACATGTGACGGAGTGCATGTATGGACAAATTTGTCTCTAACGTATAAAAAATTTGCCGTTTCTCAGTTATTGAAGGCCTGACTTCTGGGTACAAAAGCACCTATATCTCCAGAATTGAATGGACTATCAGCACCAATGTTTTGAACAAGTGTGGGAAAATGGTAGAATCCGGTGAAATCTGGGGGGAAATATTACCTACTTATACTGTTTTTCGCATGGATGTCCTATAAACATTTTTTGGTGTTCGCTGTGGTAAAGTTGAAGGGTTATCACAAGGAACAGTGGGTAGCTCAGGTTTTTTTGGTATTATCAAGCTTGTTTCTGTGGGTTGTTGTCTGTGCGACAGAATAGCATAGTGATGTCTTGCATGTATACACACATTTAGCTGTGTTCCTTTTGAAGGGCACATCCAGGTGAAATGCTAAGCATTTTGGGCGAGCGTGAGTGACCATATTGCAGATATAGTGCAGCTATTAATTTGTGAGCAAGCACAGGGAGGATTATAGCTTGCCGCATAGTTATCCTCCGCTGCTCCCTTTCGCACATTCTTGCTTGGTCAAGCAGGAAAGGGACTGTTAGCTCATTGCACATGCTGCTGAATTATACAGGAACGTATTTCTTTAAACTTTGGAGTTGAATCTGAAGCATGTGATAGAGATGACAGATGGTGTATATAACACGAGCAGAAACAATTTTTTAACCAAACTTGGCAACTACTCTATGTACATAGCTAAGTCTTATGTTCACTACCCTGGACAAATCTAAGCTGTCAAGCTTCTCTTTGTATGATGATTAAGCGTGATGTCCCTTTGGTACGTTTTAAGCATCCCCATTGTCGAAAATTGTCGTTTAGCTACTAACTGCATTCATAGCAGGGAGTACAAGGTGTGCAACGGTAGATTTAAGAATGCATCACCATGTACAAAAACTGCAAGGTTTTCCTCACCAAGGATCTGAGTAGCTATGCTGTGATATGCAGCCCCAGATGAAAGGTATCTTTAATTGAAGGGGTCTGAGCCAGAGTGGGCCAACCCTCAATATACAACTCTTGCCGGTTTTTGTTCTATAAGGACATTTTGAAGGAAAAACGGCAAGAGTTGTATACTGAGGGTTGGCCCACTCTGACTCTGACCCCAAAAACCAAAGAATACTGCCAACCTCATAAAAGAACAAAAAAGCTTGGTTTACCTGAAGATCTTCGGCAACACATCTCATAAAATGCTTAGTGTTCGCTGCGTCTATGCATTTAGGGCCATTATTTGCATTTTGAATATCATGTGAAGTATACTTTTCTTTAACCATGCTTTCACCTCCAAAGCTAGCTAGCTAAGTCATTCAAAAGATAATAGCGAATTATACAGCTAAATCGTCGGGTAGAAATACAAATCGCTGGGTAGTTATAGCCAAATCGTTGCCAGATTTGCGCGATCAAGCTGATCATGCTCATGTAGATAACTACCTGGCGATTTAGCCTACATGTTTCGGACAACTTAGCTATCGGACGATTTAGCTATAACCATGCAACGATTTAGCTATATCTATCCAACGGGTACGAAAAGGGGTAGTCTGGTGAAACTACTAAATCGTTTACAAACCCGAAATTTGAGACAAATGGCCTCCCATACTATGTTATGTAGCTGCTCCCATATCCTCCGTATTATAAATGTCCAGACTAGACTGATGGAACATGCATAAATTACATTGGGAATAGATATTATGTCAGTTGGTGCATGATGACTGGTGTACTAGCAAATACATAGCACCGCTAATTCATAATGACTAGCTTGAGAGTTGAAAGCGAGTTAGCAAAGTGCATGTGTGAGAAAAGCCCCAAGCTTATATGAACACGCCATTTAAGGTAACCTACACCTTGTTGCTAAGCTATCTGTGATGCATACAGCTTTTGCATGTAAAACTGAAGGAAAAAATAATAGGGAATAATTAATTAAAACTCTCTTTATCCTGGCTATTGCTTTTGCTAGAGTGTCGCCGTTTCTTGGTAGAGGAGTCCTTTCTCTTCTTCTTTATGTCACTTTCACCTGTTGGATGGAGTCCAAGGCTTTGCAATATTGCACTAGGGAGGGTCATTTTCTGAAAGAGTAGGAAAAAAACATACCCTAATTGGTGCATGATGACTGGTGTACTAGCACTGCAAATACACAGCACCGCTAATTCATAAGCCAGGTCATGCTGTCCCAGCAAACTAACATCTCAGAGACCTACTTCACCAAGAAATTCTTTATTCTTCATGCCTCCATGCCTCCAATACGGAGCATTAAAGAGCTGTCTTACACGTGGGGGGTTGTTATGATAAAAACTAATGCTGACCTAACAAAAACCGAAAACTCCAAGGTCTGATTTTGATTGACATGCTGCCTTGCCGTGCCTTGCCCAACTCAAACGCTTTATCTGAGGATTGGTACTTTTGTCCAAAGGTTGTGACCATCACTTCTGGTGTCATGGCTGTTTATGCCTTTATATAATCAACACAGCTCTAGGGCTACAAACTGGCCTGGATATAGACTGTTTAAGTCCTTTTTAGTATATCGCCACAGCTGTAAGGTACTGATAAAAAAATGCAGGCTTGCTAACGCTTGAGACCTTCATGTTATGTGTAATGTCTACTTCCTTCTGTTCCATAACAAGATTGAACCCACTGTAGCAAAAAAGCTACATTACAATAACTTTTAATCCCAAAAATTGGAACAAGTGGAACAGGGGGAAAATACCGATGTCACATCACTAAATTGAGGGGAACAAGAAGATGCCTACACGGACAAATAATCACTACAGAGGCTTTATACAAAATCTGCCTCTGTCTCGATATAGGTTACACTATGCCCACGAGACGGTTTAGTGGACATACACTACGTCGAGTGGGTGTAGTGTAACCAATTTGTACCACAGCAATGCGCACTAAGACAACTTATTAGTATGCATGCCATGGTGTATGAGAGCTCATACACCACATGTGAGTGTATGGCTGAGTCAGCACACCATACACCATGGCATGCATACTAATGAGTTGTCTTAGTGCGCATACACTGCGTGCGGTGCCTTTGATTTCTAGGGCTTCTGTGGTACAAGTATAGTTGTCCTCTTGTTTCCCTGCTTGCTAGTGACCTGACATCTTTTCATCTCATAATACCGTGTGGGGATAAAGTTCAATATGTTCCACAAGTTCTTTCTGTAGTCCAGGGTCAACCTGTATACAATGTAAAACATTAAAAAAGATGTACCTGGAAACAAATTATTGAAACGTTGAACTATACATTAACGACAATTATTGGCATATTTTGAGTGAACTAGGGGCTCCATGAGAGACATTTTGTTCGAATTTCGCGAAAAAGCTAGCGTGCAGGCGGGAAATATCAGCACTCGCAGGATAATCTATGAATAACGTTTTTTTCCGTGGGGTTCAGTATTATTCTGCGCTACAGGAAGCAGATGAGCCCCTCCTCCGTTATTGCAGCAGTAGACACGAGCGCATGCTCAGACTCGCTCGGGGGCATGGGACCCGCCCATGCACAAATAACATCGCTGTACAGGGGAGTTGTTCTTCAGTATTGATCCATTGATGCATTTTCTCCAAGCTCTAGAAGGCTGTGGAGGAACCGTTGCGAAAAGCACAAATTGTTGCCCCTTCTCGATCGCACCACATGAATTTGTCTATATAGGACGTAACCATGCCTGCGTGAACCCCTTCATTCTCTTGAACTTTGTCTTCACCCGGTTCCAGTAGGACTCGATGTTCTGTGTGTGAACGCCGGTCGTGGGGTCAATAAAGTTCAACAAGTGGTTGCCGGTGCCGTGTTGGGCCACTGGAGGCAGCTGCTGGACGTTGCGAAAAGCAGCCCACTGATCACTGTGGATGATGGTCCCTGGCCTGCATGATCGGCTGCAGCGTTTTAGCCGATCTGTCTTGTATGGTGACCATCACACCTAGAGCTGGAGTACTGCTAGTGTCGACATCCCGAACACCCACACCTCCTGAGTAGTGGCTTGCAAAAAAAGGTGGATATCACCTATATTACGACTGCTGATAGCTATATTCTTTGGGCTTGTGTCTGAAAAGGAATTCGTCGACCTGCACGATGACTCCTGGACCTCCAAGCATGAGATGTGACTATGTTGAGGAAACGCCAGTTGCAGATGTCTCTCAGATACTGGTACACCTGCACTGCACACTTTATCTCTTATTTATTCGATTCCCATTTTATTTTATACAAGTTTACCTGTACTTGTCAGTTACATCACTTCTGCTCTGTAACTCCAATGGCTGATTGAGGGAGGGGCAGTTCTTGGCCAGTGCTATTAGATTGCTGTCGCTCTAGAGAACTCGTGCGGTCTCTGATAACTGCTGCATGGTCTAATATGCTTCAAACGGACAAATTCCCGCCATTCTGTACGCGCTAGTTTCCTCGTCAACCTTTACGTTTATCGCGCAGTTTTAGCTCTACGCGAAAGACCCACCACTTCTTTCGCAGCGTCACACTGCAGAACGCACAGTATCCTGCTCATGGCTGTTTAACACGCCTTAACTGCTTACCGGGCATGCTCTGAATATCATCCAATCCTGACTGAGACCACCCAACTGAGTTGGGTGTAGGTTTGGCGACGGTGTGGAGCAGGACAGGCCCATCCCCCCAACGCCAGTCACGGGCATATTCTCGAAGCGAGATAGAAGCGCTGAAGACGGGCGCCGCCGGGCAGCAACGGCGCCCATATGCCCTGCCCCGAGGAAGGGGACTCCGGCCCCTCCCCCCTATACGAGAGAATGCCCGCCGTGCCCCGAACACAAAATGATAGAATAGCTCATCAATTATCGGACACCATCACCCGGACACAGCCATTCTCTCGGACCAGACAGAGTTAGCTATCCTCGCTACGTTCAGTACCTCAGAGGGTGTCACTCAACAGGCATGCACAGTACCAGCTTCGGCAGAGGGATAGTAACGCTACGGCGGCACAAAGATCGCTCACCGTCCGAACCACCGTCAGTCGGAATATGGCCCCTATGTTCGGACAGTGCTTGATTTTAAAGCTAAAGAGACAACGGAGACAACGTTATGTACCGAGAAAACCTCCACACTATAATACTACAGCTGAACACACCAGTACTGCGTCGTACTGCTGTGCGCAAACCGCCGCAATTATGCACAAAGACTCCACCCAAGTGCTTCAAATGATTGCGCATGCGCATTTGAGGTAAAATTACGCGGATACAGTTCCCAAAGGGACGAACTTACGGCATGTAACTCGCCTTGCCCTTGCAGTGAGTTGTAGGTATGCAATTGCGGTCCGATAATTCGAAGGTGTCCGATAAAGAGTGGTGTCTGGTGAATGAGAGGATCACCTTAAAAGTATACGGACCCACGCCGTAGCGTACTAATGGAGCCTCCGCGCGTAACGGCAATGTCATCTAGAGGTCAAAGGCCACCACAAGCACCGGAGTGGAGTACAGCGACAGGCGTAGCGACGAAGCAGACAGCATGGTACCCCCTATGACCGCCGTGAACTGACCAGGAATGACCGCCGTTTCGAACAGCGTATGACCAGGAATAATCGCGATATGTGGCTCGTATTGTTGTATTCGTCGTACCGTTACCGCCATAATGTCTATCGCTGGCGACCCCCTGGCCCTGTCTGAGGATGAGAAGAAAAACAGAAAATTTGAGGAAGCAAAGATAAGTGAAGTCACGGCAATACAGTCATATCAGTATCTGCGAGACATCTGCAGCTGACGCCTCCTAAACGTCGATTCCCCTCTCCTCCTAGGAGGACATGGTGTGGTCGTCCAAATTGACCAGTCACTGTTCCGCCATAGGCCAAAGGTAAATATTTATATAGCATAGTCGGCACTGTAGAATATGGTCCTTTCTTGCAGAACCATCGTGGACATTTTGCTGTGCTGGCGGTGACCTTTTTGACCTCTGCACAACGTTGACGTGACAGTGGCCTTTGACCTCTAGATGACGTTGCCGTTACGCGCGGAGGCTCCGTTAGTACGCTACGGCGTGGGTCCGTATACTTAAGGTGATCCGTGAATGATGCAGTACTCTATCAACATCACGGAGATACCAACATACTAGAGTATCATGTCAGCGAGCCTGATAGGCCAGGCTCTCCCATCTCCCTAATGTTTTTATGCTGTCCTCGATGCCCTTCGCGGCTGTGGTAGTCGCTGCGCCTATCCGAAACTGTGACCATTGTAACGCCTTTCATCGATACTGGCTCCCGTCAGAGCTTCTCTCACAGCTTACACAAAACGCCTACGGGTAAGCAACCGCCCGTCCGCAAAAGCGAACTGCAGACCCCTGGGCATAAGTCGTTCCCAGTCCGCCCCAGAAACAAGTCGACCCCTCTCTCGAAACGGGTCCGTTTTCATAGTGACCCTCACAATGAGGGGAGGAAGGGGTCATCCACTGCAAAGCTGAGGTGGACGCTCAGATCGTAGCTCGCATCCTAGGGAGATGTCAACTCACCTACCCGCAGGAAACCAAAAAAAGGCGAGGTAACATCTTAGTGTTGTGAAGGGACGCCGTAGCTGCCCACACCTTTATCATCCTCATAAGGGCCAGGGTGATTGCCAATCTTACCCTCCCCTCAACTTGGCTTTGAGATTGCACCCTCTTGATCCTCTCATAATGTACTCTAGACAAGGCATATGAGCTCCATGGAAAGGATCTTGTAAGCCCGATTATAATTGGATGTATATACCTCAAATTTTGTCAGCTAGGTAAGAAAAACTTGCAAATAGTTACTCCGTCACCGGGAGAGGAGCCGCCCCAGCCGAACTGCAAAACTTCATGTACTGGTTCTCTTCAGATCTGCATGTTTTCTGTGACGAAGATGCTAGGCTGTGGGAAAAAAAGAACGCAACACGTCTCTCCAACTCGCTGATGTCCAGTCTGGACGCTGTCACACTAGAGCTTCCATCGGCTTCTGGCAGTAGGGTTGGCTCTACCTTCGCGTGTGCGACCACGTGTCGAAAGGAGGACAGAGCATCTCTAGAAAGGTGGTCAGCGGCAAGGTTCTCTCTACCCAGTAAATGTGTTTTGGGAGCAGAATGAGCTGATACCGGGCTGTGAAGAAGAATAAGCACCTCATCAAATGCATTACTAGAGGATCTATCGAGGTGCCTGCTTTGATAATGGCTACCACAGCTGTGTTGTCGCACAGAACGCGGATAGAGCCGACAGGCCATTCATGCCCCCACACTGCACAGGCCACCACTACAGGATAACTCCTTGACCGTAATGTTGACTTGCTCCCACGCCAAGGGCCAGCAGAATTGGAACGACTCTCCCCCCGTTGTGAAGGGCATGCAACCCCACCGCCCGACACATCTGAAGTGATCGTGTCAGAGGGAGGCTTCTGTACAACACCACAACACATACCTACCCTATTCGACTGCTCTAAGAAAACGTCCCACCAATGCAGATCGGACTGGAAGCCCCGATTCAGTCGGACCCAGTGATCTAGCTCTCTTGGCACCATCGACAAGTCTATCATTCTTCGCAGAAAGGTTTTGCCGTGTTCTCTGTGTTATTTGTGTTTTCCAGTGTTTTCTGTGTTTTTCCGTGTTTTGCCGCGTTCTTTGTGTTTTGCTGTGTTATTTGTGTTTTCTGTGTTTTTCTGTGTTTTATTGTTTTGCAATGTTATGTCCGGCTCTCACTATGCAACAGGCATGCTGTAGCTGACCAATCAGGGAGAGTAGCTCGCGCTTCTCACAACATTTTCTTGTACGCCATGCAGTGATCAGCCCTTTTAGGCGAGCCAGCTTCTCTGCTGGCAGGCTCAACGTCCCAGACACCGAGTCTATCTGTATCCCTAAGAAAGACAGAACCGGGGCAGGTCCCTCCAGCTTATGAGTTGCAATTGGGATGCCCAACCGCTTGCATAGACCTAAGCTCGTTTCAAGGTGTTGCCTGCATAGATCTGACTGGGCATGCAGAAAAAGTGTCTGTGAGCAGTTTGGGCACTGCAAGTGAGAACACTGAACCTGTGATTGTATCGAAGGGAGGCTTCTAAGAGGTCTCTGTTGCCATGCTGTATTAGCTGTCGCTTGCGTGTCCTGGGAGCCACGTTATTGCTCCTTGCCCTTGCTCTCGTGCTCCGATGGTGAGCTTTGACTAGGCGTTTGACGTCCTACATTGATTATCCATTTCTAGGTTACAAGTTAGTAAGGACAATGCCTAATTCAGGTTATCACACCATACACACTACGTCAGCCCTTGCCCTGGAGCGCTCAGCATTTACCATTTACTTCGTGTTCAAGGCCTCAGTAGGCATTTTATTAACATGCACTCTCTACCACCGAATTGTACCTGTACAATGCCAATGAGCTGTTTCTGGGGTAGTTGGAGAAGAATCGTTAGAGAATGGGGTTTTGTAAGCTGGAGAAAGATAAGTAGGCTGACTCATTTATTTTTTCACAATAAATACTTGCCTCACAGCACCTTAGAAATCCTTGCCAAACAGTTGGCATTTTCCAAACCTGAAGGAATATAAATTCTCAGATATACATGCTTGCATCCTGTAGTACATAATAGTTACCTGCCTACTTATTAGCCTATTGAGAATTGTCATTACAAAGCTGACCAATTTAGGATGAGCAGCAAGAGATTGGATCACCTTAAAGGGAGACAAAATTTACATGACCAAATTAATTATGTGATCACTTACTGTTCGCATGAATAGCACAGGAATTGGGGTGTGATCTAGTAGTTGCTGTAATACAACTGCTAAAACTTCCTGTGTGTATATGCTCTTCTCAGAAAAACATATATTTGTTGCTATAAAAAATTTATAGTGAAGAGTAATACAAGTAAAAAAGGACTAAAACAACCTTTTATAGCTGATTTCATAAGAGCTTCATCATTAGAACAGTCAATGTTGTGAAGAGCTACTAATAGTTCTGATGGGGTGACGGGGCTAATACTATGTCCATGGTCCCCTGCAACAAGCACATATTGTGAGCTTAATAGCAAAAGGTTCTAGGTAGCAGGTATATACCATTTAAAAAATCATTAGCATATTCCTCCTCTATACAATCTCCATTGGAGAGAAAACCAGTGTGTGATTTCACCGGGAGTGAACGGTTCCTTGCAACTATGAGCAGTGGCGTTCTTCCTGCCTTCTATGGTAAGCGCAGGTGCATTCTAGCTGGCACAAGAAATGGGCGTTGTCACGTTCTGAGCATTACGTTACTTTGACCTTTCTCATGCAGGGGTCATGCCTTTTATTTGACTAGCGTCTAATATGCCTGTGCACACCGTAGGATGCGGAGAAAGGCACTGCTCATGCAGAACTGTTCACTCCCCATAAAGTCAAAGTTGTGCACTGGTTTTCTCTCCTATAGACAATGTATGGAGCAAGAAAACAAGCATGTTAATGAGTTTGAAACAAGGCCTAAAAATCCGAGATATAATAACGGGCTTTTCAGTCGTGCTATTGGAAAATATATAACGCCCACGCTCTTTTTAAATATGATCAAGGTAAGCAAGTGGTAATTTGCAGATTGGCTTTTTTCCACTTGGTTCTAATGCCAAACCTTTTTCTGAAAATCGTCGATTTTAAAATCAAGACAGAGTAGCAATGACCATGTTAAACGATACCAAAAATGTGGTCAGGTAACCCCTTTTTAGCAATGACATGCACTGGTAATAAATGAAAAGCACTGAAGTGCAAACCCTCGGCGCACTGTGACGCACACGCGTAAGTAGACGCATGCGCAGTACCACTAATTGATGGGCTGGGTTTAGTTTTAGCTGTTACTCGTGGTCTCTTTCCAGCTTGCGCAGAATCTGACGCGGGCTAACTACACTACTAGATACTAGCATGCGAGAGGCGATACACACCCTGCGTTGCATCTTCTGGTGCCTCCGAGGCACGCAGAGCACGGGGATTGATCAGACCGGGGTAAGCTATCCCGTCCGTTGCGTATTTGCATATTGGCTTTTTCGCGCTCTAGCTCTGCAACGGAGCATTTTCAGAGAAAACCCCACATATTTTCTGACGTCCGTTGCCCGTTGGGTAGATGGTATCGTTTCTGGGACGAACAGACATTCGAGAGGTGAGATGTAGAGTAACAGACAGACACACGGACGGACAGACCCAACTACTGTAACCCTCGCTGCGCATGCGTGCCGAGGGTTAATAAATCCATTGCGCGTGCACAGCGGGGGTTATGTCTGTCTGTCAGTTTGACTTTTACCACGCTTCAGCCACCAAATCGGCCAAGGAACGACATTAGCTTGAACGAAACCTAAAAATAGCTGGCATAGAACATGCTGTAGGACAAGCAGGAATTTATCTGGTGATCAGGCTAGTCTGCTGCTTGCGGCGGTCCTAATTCAACAAAGAGAGTTGCTTTAGACCTGAGTGATGCTGGCCGTTCCTGAACCAGGTTGGTGTAATCGACACACTCCTGTTGCTGATTATCTTCTTCCGATGCCAGGACAGTAAATAAAAGCAGGACAGTAAGTACAGCAGAACTGACGGGCAGGCGTCTTTCCCAGGCATACCTGATAAACTAAACTCCTTTTCTCTGTGTAAGAGGCACTACAAGGTTGTGCTTTTTCGATAATTTTGATCCTTGTACCTTATGCTGGCTCAAAGGCTACACCTCTCTATATGCAAGTGACCTGCTGGGTTGCTCTGCAGCATCATTTGCTTAAAGAATACGCCACACTTTTTTGTGTACATTCTACATTATCATTGTTCGTGAATGTTGATTTTATTGACTCAAAATTGAAAAAGGGATAAATCACCCCTAGTGTAGGTTACTTGTAGCTCCTAATGGGGTAGTAAACAAATGTATATGTTATCTTACCCCTGAAAGAGAGCAGCAGTCGATCAAAAACACCCCTAACTAAGTTGGGGCTGAGTTTAATGAAGTATGGAAGTGCAGCCAAAACCTCGTTCTATATGTACACAGTTTCAAACACAGTGTGCATGGTAAAAACAGGTTTACCTTATGGAGTCCATGCAAAACAGGAATAAGAAAGCGAACATCTGATGGATTATGTTTGTAAAGCTCCCTCACTCTCTCAACCAACCCACCAGATGGAGGACCTAACAAACAAAAAAATTACTAACAGCTAGTTCAAAAGTAAGAATTGGTGGTAAACTGTGGGAGATTCAATAATGGACACGTTATGTACATTTGGTCTCATAAATGGCTGATTTTCAAAAATATGTAACAGACAACTAGTGCTACATTGAAAAGTACACAGTTTGAGACCATGCAAAGCTGTGGCCACAGTCAATTGATCGGGCGTGATAGTCGCAACAGCTACTATTATTAAGGCATTGTTATCACAATCTTCAGCATATTCTCCTCCTTCATACATTCTCTATGGGAAGGAAATTCCTCTGGCTGCCACAGTATGCGCAGGCACATTAGATCTATCGACAAAAATGGGTGTAGCCGGGTGTGTAATTACACAATACTCAGCACAACCAATGAATCACTCCATTGTCACCAGCCCCTTTGCCTTATTAGATGGGATGGGTCTGGGCATGAAACTATACTAGCTAAGCTACTACCAGGGTAGCTCAGCAGGTATGTGCAAATCTAAACACAACATAAGACAATGGAAAACTACAAACAGCTGTGCTATGACACACTAAGTATAGGATTATTGTCAAACATGAGGTCATAACAAAGCAAAAAACCAATCCAATGAGGTGTTAGCGGGAAAACCTGCATAGATATCGAGAGGTGTCAAGGCCAAAAAAAGCTTAAAGCTACTTTTCGAGAAAGCCCAATTTGCTTCCACATGGATCGTTTGTGTCATAGCACCTATAAAGACTTATAGTACTCAGGAAGTATTTAAAAATTCCGTAAAAACAAAGGCCTCCTACAACACATAACGGCACTGTACCATACAATTTTCAGTTAGAATGTAAAGTATCCTCATGATAAGTGTCTCTGCTCCAACAGGGCAATTTTCCACCAAATGCAGGAGTTCTGGAGATTCCATTCCAATTGTACGCACCTGCACAAACAACAGCACCTAACAAACATTCTAAAAGGTGTACAGTTTCTCTATAATGTTTGGGTAAACTTACAGGTTTGTCGATGTGCTTTAGGACAATTCTCTTAACAGAAGGTGTTGTACTTGTGTAGATCATTGCAAGGCTAATTATACAGATGAATATTATACACAAAGCAGTGTAAAATGTGTTGCCTTAACTCTTTTAAAAGTTTGTGGTTGAGGGGCAGGAGTGATACAAATAATTGTAGACACAGATTTACACTCTCTTCCGTCCATTCAGTGGCTATTTCTGAAACAAAACCATTGAAATAGCTAAGTACTTCTGCCTATGTATGTGTTTTAGAGTGTCAACAGATGCTTGATGCATAGATGTGCGTAGGTCAAACCTCATGTACATTATTACAGTAGAGAGTAGAACATTTCCACATCAGCAGCAAGAATGTGCAGGAAGGGTGTTTTCTCGAAGCATGCTCACACTCCTTGGCTATACCATTCAAGCAAGCAGGTTTGTGTTGCGGAACTATACTATTGTTCGGCAGCATATCAACTTACCTACCATGGTTGCACGGAGCACATCTCTTTAAGATTAGCTACAGTCTGTTGGAAGGTAGGCTAGGGCCTAGGCATTTGTGATTTGAGGAAAATGCCTAGTATCACCTGCACACGCAGGTGTGTATTTCACTCACAAATCTACACATTCACGTAAATTGTGCGTTCAACATCAAGCGTGGACAAGATGACACTCTACAAAACAAACATTCCTCCTCACCTTTTTGTGTGTCACTAACTAAGCAGAAACAAAAGCTCACTAAGATCTACGTATTCTTGCTTAAGACAGTGCATTCTGATTACTTGCAGCAAGGACAGACAGACTTACGATGAAAAAACCATGGCTAAGACTTGCTAGAAACATTAATAAACCTACTGAGTTTAGTAAAAGCCAAATTTGGCAACATACCCATGTCCCCAGTGTCATCTTGAAATGGAGGAAAGTCTGACAGTAGATACTGGAGGGACTGCAGAGCAAACCGCTGTGGAGAAGTTAGGTATCACATGAACTATGCAGAATAGATTATTAATTAGCGAGCGAAGAGAGCCCACTTAGGCGTCTGAATGCAGAATTTTCCATATAATTATATCCGTAACGTCAATCGACCAACGGACTAACCTACCATAATGTTTATGTGAGTGCTAAACACATGCGAAATATTGAAATGCTCGCACCCAGCCCCCATGTGTTCTACGTTACGTGCAAAAGTAATTTGCACTGACCATGACCTTCACATAACAGTGCACTACCCCCACACCACCACTTCTCTGTAGTAATGGCAGGTCAAAATATGAGCTACATTAAACACATGCGGATCTGTTATGTAACATGCAAAAAGTGTTATGTGGTTGCACTCGTCTGTTCAGTTAACGGCATTCCAACTTCCAGTGATCGAACTTACTAACAAAAAGCACAAGCGTTGTTGCTAGACTGGGATTCGGAAATACCAAGCCTTTGATATATGTGAGGCAGCCAATGTGAGAAGGAGGTAGCTAATGCATTTGGCCCGTTTCAACTCTGTTCATAACATTATTTTGTTGTATACTCAACATTGCTGAAATGTTAGTAAATGTGGACTGTGTGGTAGCAAGAGCTGCCATCATGTATGTAGTGACAAGTGTCTGCCTCTAAGACCTTTGACACACATTGAGACAGGGATTCAGATAAGTGTTTGGATGCAAACAGTGTTGAATGCTGTAAGGAGCTGTAGGAGAGCATATCAGGTCCACAGAGAGTAATTTTAGAGTTACTAACAATAAAAGTAGGTGATCTATGAAGTAGGGTGCATGAGTACCAGACTATTGTGCACTAATGAAAGTCTGCCATCACACATGTGGAATCAGGCTGCCAGAAATAACTAGACATCCTTCAGTACAGTTGCAAATCACAGATTGGAAGCTAGAGTGTGATTAGAAGTCAGCCGAACACAAAGAGGCAGTGAATACACTTACAGTTTTGAGGTTACTCGTGTTTAAGTGTAAATGATGATGTTGCTAAATTCAAAAACATGAGACCGAGAAACACACCAGAACCGTAGATAATGTGGAGGAATTGTTGCAAGTTTATACACTTTCCGTATTTAAAAAATCTCTGTATACGTACTTGAATGCTTGAGGAATGACTTGACAAGAACTTACACAAAATATACTATACCTCTATCTTTGCAGACAGCTCTGACTTGGCATACAGCTTTTTGGTGACATGAAGAGCTTGCACCCTGGCCTAAGGTAAGAGAGATCAAACTATCAAATTACCACTATCTTAAGAAACATAACTCAAAGAAAAACACACAGTTTTGGCAAAGGGAACACAAAGATCAGAGTAATTAGTGTCAAATTTGAATTCTGTTATTATTTTGGAGTATAAGTACTTATGGATATACAGTCCCAAGTGCTAAGAGAGTGGAATGGTCACTTTTTCACTCATTGGCAAAATTTCCAAAAAAGTGATATATAAAAATCTTATGATAGTCGCATGACAACAACAACCTCTAAAGGAAGGCTGATTACCCTCGGCGCGCATGCGCAGCGAGGGTACAGTAGTTGGCTTTCCAAGTCTTTCTTCCTCATCACCAACTACATCTTACCTCTCGGATGTCTGTTCGTCTCACAAACGATGCGACGTACTCATCGAGCAATGAAGGTCAGAAATTATGAGCGGTTTTCTCTGAAAAATGCTCCGTTGCAGAGCTACAGCGCTTCCAGCATTGTACGGCTAATGCGTAGTCGGCCATTTTTTTTATCGCTGCGGAAAATGCGCATGCGGTTATTACGCTAATTAGCACAAGCTTACGTATATACCCTGACCGGGCCGCTTGCTCTATGTATCTTGAAGGCATAAGAAGTCACAACGAAGGGCGTGTATCGACTCACGCATGCTATTTACTACTGTAGCTAGTCCGCGTCAGACTCTCCTAGAGCTACTAGCGTGGATACCACGAGTAAACGCATACTAAAAGCCGAGCCCATCAATTAGTGGTACCGCGCGTGCGCAGTTCGCAGAGGGTTTGCACTTTCATTAACCCTCGGCGCGCATGCGCAGCGAGAGTTACAGTAGTTGGGTCTGTGTGTGTGTGTGTGTGTGTTACTCGTCATCTCACTTCTCGAGAGTTCGTTCGTCTCACACATTATACCACCTACTTAACGGGCAATGAATGTCAGAATTTTGTGCGGTTTTCTCTGAAAATGCTCCGTTGCAAAGCTAGAGCGCTTCCACCATTGTACGGCTAATGCGTAGTCGGCCATTTTATCGCTGCGGGAAATGCGCATGCGCTTATAGTTTGAACAGGCTTTAACCTCGACCGTGTCCGCTTGCTCTGTGTATCTTGAAGGTACAATAAGTCACAACGAAGAGCGTGTATCTCTCGCATGCTGTTTACTACTGCAGCTAGCCCGTGTCAGACTCCCTGTGAGCTACTAGCGGGAGACCACAGGTAAACGTACGTATACTAATACACAGTAATAGCTGAGCTCATCAATTAGCGGTACCGCGCATGCGCAGTTTGCCGAGGGTTTGCACTTTAGTGCTTTTTATTATTTTAGCAAGACTGTGAGTTAGAACAAACTCAATATGCACACTTCTTCTCTGTAGGAGCATAATATTTGAGGCCAAATTTCACCTCAGCGTTTGTGGACAACACAAGCAAATGGTGGTTTTGAAGTTCCTGTGGGTTAGGCAGTCATTTTACCTAGTTAAGCTCCAAGACTTGAAATGTAACACCTGAATAAAGGTACTGTCGACTTACTCAATTTTAAATACCGTTGGATGTGGTGGCAAAACAGGACCATCTCTGTAAAAGTGCTCGATTTGGGCAGCCATTTTTTTTGTAAAATGTGACATTGCAAATGAATGCTGATTCAGAAATATCGTCACTGAGCGTGCGCACAAACGTCACACAAGAGCATCAGTCTTTTTTATCTTCGAGAGTTTTAAGCTTCTGGACAACCTATATCAGTCTCACAGCACACAGGGGAAGTAAACTAAGGCGGATGTAGAGAAGTAGGGTTATTATGAGACACCTCACAAAGGCTACTCAAGAATGCCAAGTCCTAGCAAAATCAAGCAGCATAATCATCTCCATTTCTGTGCAGCAAATTGTATTTACAAGCACTTTTTAATTTCGTTGTAATAAAATCTCCTTTTAAAGTCATGGAATATGAGAGAGGAATGGAAAGAGACACAGTTTAAAAACACACAGACACACACTTGAGAGACTTGCAACACTTTGAAATACAAAGTGGATACAAGGTATGTAGCACACAAACAGGTCATTGGTAACAATGCCAAAAACTGACTTTTTCACTGCCACTCTTATACACACACCTTTCGCGCTGAATGACAAATAGGGTAAAAAGTAAAGGCAAAAATACAAAAAGGTCATTGGCAACAATCGAACCATGACCCTCTGGGTGACCCCCTTCGAAGCACTAAGTGCCATAATGAACGAGGCCACCACCCGGCCTGGTTGCTGCAAGACATACTCGTGATAAGCTTGAGATAAGGCAGATTTTAATTATTAAAACACTCAAACATCCAGTGGTTGGAGTACGTGAGTAGTGTAGGGTGGGAGACATAGTAGGTGAATTGGGCTAGTTCAATGCTAACATGAGAAGAAAGGCCATCTTGATTCAGGAGAACTGGCCTAGCCAAATTACTTAAACCATTCTTCTTTGTTTATCATCCAACTGTCTGAAACCACAAACATGGTATCAGCTGGGGCACGAACCCTCATGCCATCGGGGACACGGCGTTCGCAAAGATTAACAATTAGTGGGGGTAGACTTACACCAGAACAGAACACACAATCCAAAACGGTATGATTTTTGCTTCTTTTGCTAGCTGCAATATTCCAACAATAGCTACAACTTTCCCAGGCTTAAGACAACACTTTTACCGGACTCCTCCGCATTATACACCTGCATTTGCTTGAATTGGTAAGTTAAGCCTACCATAGAGTGTCCCAAGTTTAGCCAACAACTCATCAATAACAGTCATGTTCAGGCACAATACACGACAGTAAGAGAGCGGTTGTGGAAAGTTGAGGTTGGTGACTTACAAACCCTTCATACTAACCCCTTCATCTTTAAACGGGTGATTCTTTCAAGTTCTGTCCGCAATGACGAACGCCATCCACATCACATCCTCACATGACAAACCAAACCCCATATCTGCCATATCAAAAACATACTTTGCCAAGAGATCCTCCTCTTGTTTTGAGAGGACAGTTGGAGGTCCAGGTTTGTGTCCTCACGCAAGTCAGGCTTTGATCACTGGGGATACTGCCGTAGCTACTACTATCGCCCCCTCATGCAGAATCTACCACCCCTGCACTCCAGGCCGTGAAGCAGCCCCCTCCTCTCTGTAGCCATGCCTGTTCCGTAGAACTGTAGAACGTGCACAATTTCGCTGTTGGCCACACACATAGTGTGCATGACTCACCCAACGCACTCCAGTCACGGTTTCTCTATTACCGGCGGCGCCCAACAGCCATTAAGGGGAAGAGAGAGGGCACCCAAGGAAGAGAAGAACCCTTTCCATATCTGCACACATATGGCTACCGACACTGCTAGTACGCCATCCCTATCTTCACTCCCTCACCTTATAACTCGCTCCTTCTCTCCCTCTCCTCATTCACCCGATTTCAACCACAAATCTGCCACCCCAGTGAGAAGATTAAAGTTTGTTGTCTAAATGTTTGTGGACTGTGTCAAATAATAACATAACCATTCCCCAGATCTCATTACACTGAACACTGGTTACATGACACAACACACAGACTATCCAGGAACTGCATCCCAACTACAGATTTCTGGCCGCCTGTCTTCCAGCATCAAAGGTTTTGCATTCCCCACCTAATCAGAGGGCATGGTAGAGTAGCTGTAGGATTGAACACCAAACTATCTGTAGCAGAGTATAAACATTCACACCCATTGTTATCAAAATCCATGTCAGTTGGTCATGTCATGGTTCTGTTGTATAACCACTAGCTCTCACCCATCATCCTATTTAAGCTCAGTGTATAACTGCCAAGATATAATACTTTCTGAGCCATACATATCAATTCCCCGCTTAAACTCTCTCGTTTGTCTTCTCTGTCTATCTCACTGATATATTCAGAGAACCAGTAGACCATCTTGATACTGTGATAGGATCCCTCTCACCCTCATCCGACATCATTATCCCTAGGGACTTAAATGCAGAACCAGGGAGCGATGGCGGACCCATCACCACTACCAGGATGAATGGGCAGGGAAGGATACTTGTACTCTTCACAGAAAAATTGAGCCTTGTCTTGACTCATCTACACAAGTCTCAACTAGCGGTTTAACACACATACGTATGAGAGTGAAGCTCATTCCATCTTCTCCACCATGCACCACATTAGGGATGTCTACCAAGAGCGGACTTTTCCTATCCTCTACCAGAACATCATCTCAATCTGTCTGACCACCTACCAATTATTGCGGCACTCAAAATACACCAATGCTCAGCCCTGGGCATCTACCAAGAGTGGACTTTTCCTATCCTCTACCAGATCATCCTCTCAATCTGTCTGACCCATTAATGCGACACTCAAAATGCTAAATGCTCAGCCCTTCACAAAACTCCATCACTCACTCCTTGCAATTTGCCCGCCATGCCATCCCGCCAGCCTTGGTCCTGTCTCATAACACCAGCCTCTGAAATCCAGGATCGTCTCTGCCCACTGAGGAAGGCAGAAGGCCACGAAACCAATCATGGAAATGGCTGACCGAGAAAGACACCTAACTCTACCTGGGTATCCTCCGCACTTTTATTACTATCCACCCTCTAACACACCACTGAACGCTATAGTGCTGGCGGAAGTGCCAACTTAATACCATTGGGGCATGTTTCGGCTGTGCCACTTTCCTCCACCTGTATGGAGCATATTGCTTACCTATCCTCCTCTACGGATCCGAGTTATGGCACATAACCAAAATCAAAGGATTGAGATTGAAAGAGTCCACAGAAAAATCCCTCCATGTCTGCTGCAACTCCAAAGCCCTCGTCCACAACATGGGCATCCTCAACACCAGTTATACTAATTCTTGCTACTAATCCTGGACTCTCTCCGCCTCCAGCTCCTCCGTGTACGCCACCATCCATTGGAACACTTCAGAAAACTTTTTGTCAATATGGACACTCCCTGGCCAACGTTATCTTTGCCTCTCAATGGAGTCAAGGAGGAAGGAAGAGAACTGTCAAACATCTACTTATAGTGTAACAATACACACCTTTTGCAGAGTGCAGTCATCTCCCCCCTCTTAGAAAAGCTTGGCAGGATTACCCCCCATCTCATGGATTCCCTCGCACCACAAAACATAACATTGGGAAAATTCGCCTGCTAGTAAACTGCTACGGCCTTGAAACAGACACTGGCAGATTTCAGACCAAACCTGCAAGATCTGCCGATCAGGATTAGAGGATGCAACTCATTTTATCTCTTACTGCCCCGACCTCTCTGCAGCATGTAATCTATCGCCAGTGCTGGCCGACAACGGATCGCTACTGAAGTCTGACCATGATGGGTTCATCATTGGAACACGTCAAATTGATGACTGCAGAGAGAGATCACATACCACCTACATTCTGAGCATCTTCACCAACAACTAGCCCTAATCGAAACAACCATCCAATAGGCCACTCTCCTTTAGTAGAAGGTGAAAAGTGTGGTGCGCGGAAGAAAAATAACTGAAGCACCAGGTAGGCCAAAGGTAATGTTAGCACCTTAACAAATGGAAAGATGGACACTGCTTAGTAGATACCTTACCTTAGTGCATAGCTGGTTTAAATCGAGCAATCTGATTGGTCCACACGAGGTACCTGATTTCCCGTAGTATACCTGGGACGCTCCGTAGTAAACCTTGTCTTTCATGTAAAATTTTCACATGAAAATGACAAGACCACGTACATAATCTACAGAAACATGTAGCTTTATCGTCTACAATAATTCTTTTTTACTTTCAACAGTATGCACAGAGACACAAGAAGTCTGGGCCTAGCTGTACGTAAGCGGCTGTACACTAGCGGTACGTCATGCCCGCGGATACGTGTGCGTAGAGTGGGCGGAATCCTTTTCCGTGAAGCGCGGCGGACGACGAGCGGGTGCTGTATATAGCTTCTGCCTACCGTTTCTGGCTCGCCGCTGGTGGCTGAAACCTCGCTCGAGTCTGTTACCAATCGCGCTCATTCGAATTTCAGTCGCCTGGAAACGGGTGCTGTGAGTGTGCGGATTTGTCTGCTCTGCACTAAACATGTTAGTTACTCCGTATACTCGGGAACTACGGGATTTCAATGACCATCCGCGTAGTTGCCCTCGCTGCGCTCGGGACACAACAACGCCGAGGCCCTCGGGTTCATTGAAATCCCGTAGTTCCCTCGAACGGAGTAACTAACTTATATTTTTATTTGGCTCGTAGGGCCTTCGCTTGGATATAAAGACCATCGTTTTAGCTGTCTGCGCTAGATATGATGTAGCAATTTCAAGGTTTGAAAGGTCTATGTGATATAAGCACGATTATTGACGTTACGTAGGGAGTGACCTCCGCGGACTCACACTTTTGCAGAGGGCCCGGTTTTGCCACCACGCTTAACGGTGAGTAAAAATCGACTCAAGACATTGATAGCACATTTATTGCCATGTAGCTTAACTAGTAAAAATGAGGATGCAAAAAATTGTGCATTTTAAGTTTCGGTTATTAACTTGCAAAATAATCAGTCTAAGGACCTTCTTTCAGGTTCACGTGACTATCACATGATCTCATGGGGCCCTTATCAGATTAATCAGCAATCTTAAAACACGCTAAACCTAAGCAATCTTAAAACAAGCTAAAGTGGCCAAACATTTCAACTCACCAATTCCACACTGCCTAAGGTTATTTCCAGCAGCATTTGCAAAAAATCCTCAGTACCGTGGGGACCATGTGGTCTTTTGAGAATAAGCTCCTTCAGTGTATTGATTCCTAAAAATGCCTTCTCCTGATGATATATAGAAAATAGATATTCATTTGTACATCACACATTTTGTACATTTTTAGAATCACACGTTTGGCACAGCTTATGTAGAAGTGGGTACACAAGGAACTGGGTTCCCACGATTTCGTAATTCAGTGTATTTCTTTTTCATTAGTGGAAGCTTGCTAGTAGGGTGAGAGTTAATCTCACAATTAACAGGAAAATACCAATGCAATATTTCATTTCCTGTGAAGGGAAAAAGTAATATTAATTATTCCGTGCATGGACAGCTATGGGAATCTGTATTACGAATGCAGTGGGCAAAACAGAGGAAATACACTGAGCTTCAAGCCTTGGTCTCCAGCTCTTACCCTCCAGTTTCTGGTATCCCATCTCCTGCCTGTCACGTCTACCCCGCTTACAATTTTTGCATAGTTTCATTGTTCTAGACGCGGGTTTGGATATTGACGTTCTAAGGACATGAAGTATGATCGTGATCTAGTTAACAAGCCACATGCTCTACAAAACCAAGAAGCTTATTGTGATTAGGGCTCTACACACACTCATACCACATGGCCTTAATTCAGCTTATAGTAAACCATACTACTCTTTATGACAACTCTCTTTTTCCTCTTTCCTCTGAGTCTCCCCTCAGCAGGCACTCCTTCACTCCTCGGAAAACCACCCAGAGACGGTCATATCCACCCTTCCTTCTCCCATTTTAGTTTTTGTAAAGAGCTGGTTTTCCTTTTCATTTTAGTTTCTCCAGAGATTTTCCCCACAGGGCTTTGCCTGCGGTTATTCCATGCAGGATGTTGGCCTAAATCAATCCTCAACCATGCACGCAGCTCATCCTCACTCACCCCCATGCATGCTTAAAAAACATGTACACCGTTGCTGGGAGAAGCTGAAGTGTTCCGGAACCTTTGGCTTGACACCGCCCCCCATACTTAGGATGTCCGCTCACACAGCATATGACACTTTTTCCTAACAGACAAGCGCAAACGCAAACACACACACAGCCACACAACCTGACAACCGGGTGTGGCAGTTGTGCATCACATGGTGTATATTGTTCATGTGCATTGAGTGCTAGGTGATTAATGATATCTCTGGTTATGATACCTCAGTGCAACAATAAGACTTGATGTTGTCCATGACTGACGGTGTAATTTTCGGTGCCTCCAGTATTAGTCGAGTGAATAATCTAGAAAATGATGGGGTCACAGTAAATGCGATATACACAGCAGTTGCCACGTAAATACTGAGACACGGGATACGAAAGGGGGCACACAACTCTTGTGACAAGCTGCTAGTGCGGTGATGTCTGGTAGCTAATCCAGATGTACAATAATAACATGGAGAAAAACTTGTACATACCTTGAGAGAAAACGTCTCTCTACTAAGCCTTTGCGGTTTATAAAAAACCTATATATTAAATTATTATATTATAGCTTTCTCCTGCCACATACATACCATAGGACTGATTTTTCATGCCATGGAGGTATACCGATTTACAACAGAGGGCGGGTATTGATTTCTGCGACTCCGAAATCTACACGTAAGTTTGTAGAAAGCTGGTGAGAGACAATACCCAAATCAACAGCATAGTCCAGCTCGTCAATTAGCAGTAGTGATGTGCACATGTGTATCAATTTTGCAATGTGTGTTGTAATTACGAGCACATCTTGGTGAAACTAACTCTGTAACATACTATTCAGTGCATTATGCAGTTAAGTCCGAGCGCTAATTTGAACAACGTAACACAATATATAGTGTGCTCTTCTAGTGCTGCATGTGACCTTAACCAATCATATTCTAGGCCAGCTTTGAAATGCTTGCCCTGACGACAACTGTCATTCCACTCCACTCCCTGCTCAGGGAGACGCGACGATGGCAATGTCATCCAGGTTTACACAGCAAAGTTTCTATTGTTATTTGAAAGATTGTGCATTAGGAGGTAAAAAGTGTGCATTAGGTTGAAAAAGTGCAGCGGCTTGCATGCTACAAAATGGAAGGATCTGATTGGTGAAGGTGACATGACCAGCAATATCACTAAGTACGGTAGTACTTAGCATATAGAGATGGGCATGGTACCTATAGCATCATAGATGTATGTGGCTATGATAGGGAGTTTTGTTCATCTTCTCCTCCTACTTCTTCAACACCCATAACTCGAAAATGAAATAACATATAGTAATGAAATCTTTAAGAATGTAGAGATCCGTCACCCAAAGAGACAGGTCACACTTATTTGTTTGTAAACAAATTGTTTACTGTAAACAACAACAAATAGGCAATACATTACAATGGGCACACATGCGTCAGTGTAAGTCACATTGGTAAGAGCTATGTGAACAAAACTTTGTATACATAATATATTGAAACAATGACATCCAAATCGCAACAATACATGTAAACAACAACAAACAGACTCGGGCAATTTTCTTCAGAATTACTTCTTCACTCCTCAAACTTGTTAACGGTAGAACGCATGGAGATGGAACTTTGTACGCATGTATATTACATCATTTCCATGACAACTACATGTAACCACAACAACTACATATTGTTTGAACAACAACAAATAGCCTCAGGCACTTCTCCTCAAACTTGGTAACGGTAGTTTTATTCTATGTAGCAGCTTTTGACATAGAATATCGCACACATAATACAGCAACTCCCATACGTACATCCCATACATAATAATACAGCCATAGCACCAGGACCATGACCACTCACCCACATTAGTTACACTGAACAAATGTTTACCTATCTCTTGATTCTAGTCTTTCACATGCTCCATTTAAGAGTAGTGTCAGACATGTTTCATAAGACCAAGCTTCCCGTCTACTCAGGCAGTAGTTCTCAGTCAAAGCATACTCAGCAAACAACCAGGCAATGGCAAGATCAAAGTTAGCCCTGAAGTCATCCACAATAAAGTCAAGCAATGCTGCATACAAACAATTATACCGATGTGCAGGTTTACAGATTACCTTCAAAAGGATATTTAGAACTCACCACTGGCATAACTACCACCGAATTGACAAACCAAATTAATAATGACTGATATCCTCTTCTAAGTAAAAAGGCAAAACATAAAATGTAATTGTGAAAGTCAACAAACGTACCTCACTCGTCCCCCGAAGAAGAGAGACTTCTGAAATTAAACAGCAAATTGCAACAATAAACATGACACCAAAACATTCTTTATGGTGGCAGAGATCAAATAAAAGTTTTTTCTTCCTAAATCTACAATACAATGCTGTGCGAGCTCCAAAACTTTCCCTATATTGTTTAGGCAATGATATTTTTGGTGAGAATGATGAGCATTTTTCCAGGACTTGCTTTACAAACCCTTTAGATACTACATCTACATTCCATTTTTACATAACTAGGAAGTGAACACTTCCTAAGCACATGAATAATGTTGTACTGATTTTTAGTTATATGCCTCCATACATTGACATTCTCTACGAAACAAAACTAGGAGTGAACAGTTCCTAATCACCTATGCACAGTGGCAAATGCCACGGTGCATAGGTTCTTAGGAACTGTTCAGTAATATTAAAGGGCCAATGAGTTTGTAAAAAACATTTTGCTACCATTCACAAGCATTTTAGTCATTGGTAAATATCCCACCAAACTAGGGTGAACCGTTAGCGAAACAGAGTTTTTTTACAACATGCTTTTGGTGCCTTCAGATAATAGTATCCGAGCTTTGCCTGTTCTCTCTCTAACGTGTCTAGAAATGCTGGAGTTTTAATAACTGATAAGGCGGGAAATGTCAAAATATCCTTGCCGAAAATATTAATCACAACCCCATTTATAGTCATATGTACTTTCAGCTGTCAAAATCCGTTGGAATGTTTGTGATGTAATGGTTTTAATCTGCACTTCTTTGATCTCCCTTAGAGAATTGGAGAGGTCAAAAACACGAATTCTCTTTAGCTTCTGTAGGTGAATAAACAAAGTAAACCGCAAGCTACGTACAACACGATTATTTAGTAGTGCATGACTTTACAAGTGAAAAATCATTTCTTCAAAGTGAAGGGGATATAAAAAGGAAGAAATAATGGGGCATTACACAGCTAATACACACACAGCTACATGACACCATTCCTATATCTTTGTCTGATATTATTTGTGTACGAATCAATAATAAAAAAATATAGTCATGTAGCTTTGTGTGTCTTAGCTGTGTAGTGACCACTTCTTCCTTACTTTTAGCCATCCCTATGTTCCCTTGTTTATGCAAAAAAATGTTTTCCTCTTTCTTTGAAAAGCTCAGACAAACAACTGGAGAGCAACTAAGATGTTCAAATTTATAGACACCTGTTGTGTCCTGAATGTATACGCGACTCTTGCGAGGTTCCCCCCAAGAAAATTACGTAGTCTTGTGGAGCCAGCCTCGGTCAGGCTAGACAAAGCACAGGCAGAATGAAGACTGAGAGGCACGGTTTCCGGCACGACACTGCGTATGTGTAGGCTCTGTGCACAGTGTGCGTTGCCGCACACTGGCAAAGCTGACTGCTGAGCTAACGGCAAATGGTGTCATCCAGTGTCACTATGGAAAAGCAGCTTGTTACCCTCGGCGCGCGGTACGGTAGTTGGGTCTGTCTGTGTGTCTGTCTGTTACTCTACATTTCACTTCTCGAGTGTTTGTTACTCTCACAAAGGATATGACCTACTTAATGGGCAATGAAGGTCAGACATTTCGAACGGTTTTCTCTGAAACTGCTCCGTTGCAAAGCTAGAGCGCGAAAAAGCCAATATGCAAATACACAACGGACGGGATGGCTTACCACGGTCCGGTCGATCCGCGTGCTCTGCGTACGTCGGAGGCACCAGAAGATGCAACGCAGGGCGTGTATCGCCTCTTGCATGCTATCTAGTAGTGTAGTTAGCCCGCGTCATACTCTGCGCGAGCTGGCAAGAGACCACGAATGACAGCTAAAACTAAACCCAGCCCATCAATTAGTGGTACGGCGCCATTTATTTACGCGTGTGCATCACAATGCGCCGAGGGTTTGCATTAAAATGCTTTTCATTCTGCTATTTCTGATATAGTGACGTGTGACAGGTAGCTGTGCACACCTCTAACGAATCTGGAGACGTTTAATCAAAAATCAGCACTTAAACATGTTCCAATAAAGAGAGAGCAGGTCTGAAAAGAATATGACACGAAAATTGTGAAATCGCGTGTGAGTGAATTCTTGTTTGGAGAACTGAAGGCAAGTATGAGGCTTTTGAGTGCATATATGGGCCCAAAGACGATTGCTTGTGTGTTTTGAAGGCCTAGCAAAGTCATTCTCACTGTGTTTTGAAGCTTTTGTCGCTCGTAAGAATTGACCCCTATATACAGAGTCTACCGGCGCTTGTGAAAGAATTGAGTTAACTGAAATAATTTTTGTTATGCAATATAAATAACTTACTTGTGGTGTGGGAGTAACATGAGTCTGCAAGTAATAGGAAGAGAAGTGTACTTACAAATAAACAAAGCCAGCCTCGGTCAGGTTCACTCTAACATATGTACACTACAGAGGTTAATTCTTCACAGAAAATAAGCTGTTATGCGTCTGGCAGAGACAAGAATAACTATGAAACAGCTAGGGATTGTCAGTGCTAGAAAAGCTGATAAGCAACTATAGGAAAGCCAAGCTAGTTAAAAGGGGTAAATAGGAACATGTAAGGAGCTAGTTATTTGTAGGATTAAGCCCTATTACTTCATTAGCTCAGTGGGTAGAGCGCTCTACCTAGCATTGTAGGTTTGAATTTCACCCAAGGCGGAATGATTTACTTGCATTTGCCTTGTCTTCACACCTTGCATATACTCGATTCGCAATAGTTCTTGGTTTGGGAGTGTGTTGGTCTGTCTTACTGTTACCAAGTTTTCTGCAAAGCCTATGGCTACCATCCCAACAGCTCAAAAACGTAATTACCTCATTGTAAAAGAGGAACATGAAAGCAAAACAAAAGATCTCTTTGCCGACACTGATGTTCACATAACCATCAATGGCAAGCGCCATTTAGGGGCCGCAATTGGTGCAAAGTCCTTCACTGAAGAGTATGTTTCCAGGAAAGTAGGTGAATGGGTTAATGAGATCAAGAGTCTGTCAACAATTGCCCTCACCCAACCTCATGCAGCCTACGCTGCTTTCACACATGGCCTCTCCAGTCACTGGACGTACATCTCCAGGACCATTCCTGAGATACAAGACTTGCTCCAGCCCCTTGAGACAGCTATTCACCAGCATTTCATCCCAGCACTCACTGGCCGAGAAGCTTGCTCTGCTTTGCAACGAGACCCCCTAGCATTTCCCACCAAACTGGGCAGAATGGGACTGGCTAATCCCACGTCCAATTCTTCTCATGCTTTTCAAGCATCTCTACGCATCACAGCTCCACTTGTAGCTCTAATTGCATCACAGGATCTCCACCAGACTGTAGAGAAAGCCGACCAACTAAACATAAAGAAACAAGTGCATTCGAGGAAGTAGATCCTCTCGCCACCGCCCAGTCAGTGAGCTCAACATTGAACTTGCTGCTGCAGAGGGACATGTTCCCTCTGATATGTAATGTCTCTGTTTTTTTGTTGTTGTTACCACAAAAAATTGTTTTCCATGCAACTGTGCACAACAAGCTGGCGACGCCAACAAGTTCAGAGCTACACGACTTACATAATATTTTACACTCACAGGAGGATGCAGGGAGTTTTTAGTGAGCGGAAGCGGCATACGATGACTGTATCTGCACGGATTCCACATGTAACATCTATGTAGTAGCCTAGCGATCTTAGAACCTGCACCTTGGAACCATGAAGATTGGAAAGAGGTACAGCCTCGGTCAGGCATTGAAGAGCGCAGTGAATGCTGCCGAATGGAGTTCCCACCTGGTTAGATCACCCGGAGAAGGCAGCATATTCATTGAAATCAAGCGTGTAATCCAAACGCATGTGCAGATGAACAATGTACGGTCGTACATAAATGTATAGAAAATCGCACCATTCGGTCCAGTAGGTTAGCTTGCTCCCGCTCGCCAATAACACTGTGCTTAAAGGTTATGGCGCAAAAAACAAGTCAATTGCTGGATACCTTAACCAGATTCTGGACTGTAGCAGAATGAGAAGTTAAAATGGATAGTGGGAATAAAACCATGCTATGCCTAAGTCCACTTGTGTAGCTAGCCCGTGCAAGACAGAGCAAGCTAACAAAGCAATACATGTAAATCAAAAGTGTATCAATTGCTGGAAATGCACATGTGAATAGGTGTTGCAATGCTATTATGTTATTGCACCGAGTTTGCACGTTTTAGTGCTTTTCTTATCTCTGACCAATGCAAAGTCAATTACAAAAGATACATCACACATATATTTACCTTCACTTCTTTCGTTTTACATTCTTTGGGCTCTGCTTGGTCTGCACATAACACAGGTATATAGTATATAGTAGAAGTTTGCTTCGATCTTAATCTAGGCTGACTTTATTAAACAAAGTTGCTATTATCTTATGGAACTCTCATGTGACGAAGGGGCCAACTACACAAATGGCATTTTGTACATGACTCCATATTAAGGACAAAAGCTAAAGATGCACACTTCAAAAATGTGAAACCTACCTTCTGCTTTGAAGGTCGGGATATTCACCAACTAACAAAGAAAAAATCATCAATATCAGATATTTGTAGCCCAGCACACACTCAGATCAAAGGCGCTGAGAAGGATAATAGTTCTGCATAGGCCCACTGTGTTTAATGTTAATATTATTAATTGTTAATCCACCCAAGGTCAGGAACAAAATCATTAATAACCTGGTAACGGGTGTAATAGCAATGATGTATAAACCCTGCGTTCTCGCTAAACAAAGTACATGAAAACGGCTGTTACTGTAGTTCTGAACACAGGTTTTGAAGTACATCGTGGCGGCCCAGTACACGAAGCACAGCGAGCGAGTCAAACCCTGAGCTTGAGCAGTGCCAGTGCATTGACTGCCACTACCTGCGAAAATACCAGGGGAATACTATGCTCGCGGATGCTCAAGTTTGGGAAACATCTCCAAGGTTTGCACAGCTCCTCTCCAGCCTGGGCTTTACCTCCACAGAAGAAAGAGTTTCTCGTGCCAAAGTCCCAGTCTGCCATGATGTACACGAATACAAAAGTGAACCTGCCAAAAACGCAACCTCACTAAAATGGGTTTGACTAGGATACAAACCAGTTTACCGCATACATTTCTATAGTAGGAAGGAGTACAAGGGATAAAACCTATGCAGTAACGTATTGTAACCATAACCAAGTAGCTGGCACAGTGAGCTACAACTTCAATGTGCCATGGTAGCTAATTATTCAAAGCCACAGTGAACAAAAAAATAATATTTAGCAGAGAGAACACTACGTAACTCAATGGCCTTGTAACTTGATTTGCAAGTGAGGGTATGAACTGAAGAAACTCAGGACACTTTTACTGAAAAATTCCTTCACATGCAAAAGTGCTGGAATGAATTTTAAAATGTGTAGGAAGAATGGCGAAAAGTGTCGAAAAGAAGTGCAGGAAGAAACGAAAAAATCTTCCTGCAAAATCCCTGTGTTTGTAACATGTGCAGGAAGATTCCTCATTTTCCTCACGTACATAAGCAAGTTGTGCCGGTATATCCAACATTTGCTGGAAATATTTTCGGCACATTCCCCATACATTATGATAAGGGCTCCTTATTCAGTGTTGCTTGTGTAGTGGAATATGTGCACGAGAGCAAGTTATGCCTCTGTTTAATCTGCAAACTTGAACAAGTAATCCCTGTCTAGTCTCCTTCATATTTAACAACCATTCTAAAATAATTACCTTTCCTCTGTTTATAGCTACGTATGCTTGAGGCATAGTGAAAGTAGCATTAATGACCCTACCGCTCGCTGCTCACAATTTTGCTTTTCACAGTACACAAATGAACAATTAAAGGACCCAGAATAAGCAAGTTATAGGGATAAATACCATTGATTGCCTCGGGCAGTTTGTGGTGTTTACAAACTTGTTGTTTTGATGAACTTACAAAGCATTTGTGTACCAAGTTCTATCTAGGGATTAATTATTTAACACAGTTTTTGTCTATACCATAATGCATAGCCAAGAGGTATCATTTGTTGTTTTAAATGCTCTTGCATTGTACTTCCTTGTGACTTAGAAAAATTATGTATATTATAATGAAAAGCAATAAAGTGCAAACCCTCAGCGAAGACGCGCACACTCGCCATATAGAGAAGGGTTCCATGTGGCACAGTTGAGGAAGACCGACCTAAACAGCGTTCTGTGAAAGGCTGCAGACGAGGTAAGCATGCGCGAGGCACACCATGTATTTTAGCGGCTTGGTAAACGTGAATTTTAGCCTATGTGAAAACGGGATATGTTACGGAGATTTTACGGAATCTCTCCTGCATGTGTGCCCATAAAAAGGCCTGGGAAATGAAAACGCACGCGCAGAAGTACACGCATGTACTACTAATTGATGGGCTGGGCCATTATACCGGTCTACCGACTCGTGGTCTCCTACCTCAGGTCACAGAGTGTCGGTAACGGGATTGCTACACGACTAGAGAGTCGATACACGCCCTGCATCGCAACTTCTGGTACCTCCAAGGTATGCAGAGCAAGCGCATTTGGTCGAGGTAAGCTAGTGCTAATTAACCCTCGGCGCGCATGCGCAGGGAGGGTTACTTAGTTGGGTTTGTCTGTGTGTCTGTCTGTTACTCGTCATCTCATTTCTCGAGTGTTCGTTCGTCTCACAAAGGATACCACCTACTGAACGGGCAATGAAGGTCAGAAATTTCGGACGGTTTTCCCTGAAAACGCTCCGTTGCAAAGAAATCCATCATTATGTGCTTGAGAAGGAGCTTTAACTGAATGAAAATCTAGACAGCTGAGTGATGAAGCTAGGATGGCAAGTAATTGACGGTAATGGAGAGCAGCATAACACTACTTTGGATGCCCATATCCCTTTTATCTTAATTGTTATTGAGCTTTATAGGAAGCTTAGGAACGCATGTCGGCTCACAGACATGGTCTTACGGCTCTGTGAGCGCAGCTCTACTTAGTACCAAACAAACAGTCCTCTACTACCATTCTAAACTAGAAGGATCGCATAGCAAGCACAAGCCAATTAAATAAGCACCTAAAATGTTTTTACACTACAGATAACATATACCAGATGACTAACTGCACAGATAGACGATGTACCAACGTAGATATACAAAATGGTACCGTTTTGACTACAAGGTGTTGTTACTTCCACTTGCCAATAATGGACATGCGCATTCCTGAGGGTGAAGAACAGGCTTATGTTTTGAATAATTTCTGCTAACATTGACGTATAACGGAACACCCAAACAGAAATTGAATGATAGCTCCTAAGACAGGCACATTACGAGTTGGAAGAGTTAGCAAAAGTAGACATGAAAATATATAACATACATTCGATATCATCGGAGAAACAAATACATCGCCGGAATCTTCAGAATTCTTTTCCATAACTTTGGGTTCACTTCCTTGTGTTCCAACATTCATCCACGAAGGATAAGAACCAAAGAAGGTAGCATATGTAGCAGGAAACATTGGATCAAAGATACTAGGCATCCCTAAAAGGGACCCAAGGAAAGCCAATTCAGTCATGCTTTCGGCAAGCTCCTGCAAGAAAAAGAAAAAACACATTAATGATGGATTGACTGACAATTACCAACTATTATTGTATTTTGCGTGGGCGAATCAAAGGCGCCGCCAGTACTATATTCATCATACAGAAAATTTTTTTTATGAACTGTACTATATCGCGCGGAACTGTACTATATCACACGAACTGTACTATATCCGCGGACTAGCGTACGCTTTGCGGGAATGATATTACATACAGTTTTTGTCAAAGAGGTAGCAAGAGCACAAGTGAAAAGAACAAATGCTCAAACTTGACATCCCAGGTTTAAGATCTATAACAATATACCTAGGATGTGTTGATACTTGTACGCTAAGTACTCAGGATCTCGTCGGCGTAGAAGTCAGAGTACTCACTCACATTGACTAATTTCTGCTGCCTACCATTTGTAGCTCTCCAACAGTACAGTGTACCCGGGAAGCACGAGTTCGTGGGTTCTAATAACCTGAGTTTTCTTTGTTTTTTCACCTCTCCTTTAAACGTGCACATTTTCTTTCAACCCAAAAGCTGTGAGAGTGGATTCAAGGCACGTGAAGTAACCCAGCGAAGAATACATTGTATCAGCACTTGTAATTTGCATAGGGATACATATAGTTGCACCATGAGTAGTGCTTAGAGCAAAGTTAGACATGATACTCTTTCTACCTTAATGACTTGTGGTGTGCCAAGTTGAGATAGGCCATTGCTAATTTGCAGTTTGAATGCCATCACTCTTAAACCGAAACTCAACCTATGACCTTCGTTGATGCTGAATAAGTAATTTGTGCCATGAATAATGCTCCGACAAATGAGACAGTCAGACAGAAACACAGACCAAGTACTAAAACTAAGGGATAAAAAGGGAAAATGTAGAAATGAGGAAAGGGATGGAACATACAATCTGCACACAATGTGGCTGACACTATCAATGCCTGACACAATTGCAATATCATTGTGTCAATACGTGCTTCAGATCAGATAATGCATGTACCTCCAATTTAAGGGAAAGTGTTTCTATGCAATGATTTGGCACAAAAAAAGATGTTTCTGCCATACACCTTGAATTTTACAGAAATCACATGAAAACAAGCCAATTTACAAGCTAAAAAATCATGGTATAAATAGTTTAGCTAATGGGAAAGAGCTCGAACAAAGAATTATGGATTAGCTTGCTATGGAAACCAAGGTGATAGTTGCGCTCAGAGCACACGTAGCATGAAACGAGGGTGTGGTCGATGGCACGGCACGGGCTATCCAAGTCGAAGGCCGAAGGCAGGTGGCTTGCTGAATACTGCTTGCACGGCCTATACCGCTACGTCTCCAACGTTAGCAAGTAAGAAATCGATGGCCAGGGAGATGCTGGTAAGCCCGCACCATCCGGAACACACGTCCGTTTGTTCATGCATATATACGCTGAAAGATGCGCTGCCCAGGCGCCGGATTCAAAAGGTAGTGGTCACAATGAATTCCTCGGGCCATGTGTAGCGCCCTCGCTGCACTAGGGTAACTACATCCGGCCTCGGGTTTCGTAGTAACCACGAACCCATCTTCTAACCAACATTTTCTCCACTCTAGTGAGTAACACCCATCACCAACATTGATCTTAATTTAGATTAGAAAGTTTGAAGAGGGGCTAAATACCAAAGTAAAGCATAAGACATTTAACTAGGTGGTAGAGTTCAAAAAGTACTTGCATGGGAAAAGTGATGCTTGGTCTAGATTAATGTTTATGTTCAGGTCGGGCACGCATGGACTAAATGAGGAACTGGGTAGGCATAGGAGGAGGGAGGGTATGAAGGAGTGCCTGTTGTGTGATGATGAGTGTGAAAGTGTGAGTCATGTGCTGTGGGAGTGCCGAGCATATAGTAGTCTTAGGAGCAATTTCTTAGTTGCCCTGCAGGGGAAGCTTGGGGATGATGGGTTTGAGCAATTCCAGTCGCTTGATAGTTTCAGGAAAGCATCCTTTATTAACCCTCGGCGCGCATGCGCAGCGAGGGTTACGGTACTTGGGTCAGTGTGTCTGTGTGTCTGTGTGTCTGTTACTCTCAATCTCACTTCTCGGATGTTTGTTCGTCTCACAAAGGATACCACCTACTGAACGGGCAATGAAGGTCAGAAATTTCGAACGGATTTCTCTGAAAACGCTCCGTTGCAAAGCTAGAGCGCAAAAAAGCCAATATGCAAATACACAACGGCTTACTACGGCATGATTGACCCGCGTACTCTGCGTACCTCGGAGTCACCAGAAGATGCAACGCAGGGCGTGTATCACCTCTCGCATGCTATCTAGTTAGCCCGCGACAGACTCTGCGCGAGCTGGCAAGAGACCACGAGTAACAGCTAAAGCTAAACCCAACCCATCAATTAGTGGTACGGCGCATGCGTTTACTTACGATTGTGGGTCACAGTTCGCCGAGGGTTTGCACTTCAGTGCTTTTCATATTGGGTAGTGAGCTGTGGGAGGATAAATTTGGTTCTTTGCTTCGCCTTGTTAAAGGTTTTATTTCGGATGTTTGGGAGCTAAGAAAGGTTAGGTTATACGGCGATAGTCCCTGTGTACAACAGACCCAGTCTCAGATTGCGTCTGGGGAGCTGCAGGGTGTCGCTGGTGGAAGGGGTGAGTTGAGGTGTCTGGGAGGTGAGACAGACACCGCATGTTCATATGGTGTATGTTTGTTTGTAAACGGTTCCGCCCATTGCTCTGGGTGCGTGGTCTATGGCCCTAGTGCTATGGCAGCCACCTGAGTATTATTATTCAGACAATAGCATACTATCATATTGCCTAGGAGATTTGTAACATGCTCACATTGTGTGCAGGTTATGTATCCCATCCAAATCTTGCACCACTTTTGTGTGAGGAAAGCAGACCTTTTCTAAAATACTCACAATGACACACATAGTTATACCAAACTAACCATTGAGGAATCCTCTGAAACAGGGTCATGACCTTCATCACCTTCATTATTAGCTTTCTTTCTTGGGTCCCTCACTACCCGTAAAGGAGATAAACTACCTCTACTCTGAGACTCAGGTAATGGAGGTGTATCAGTAGGTGTATCAGAAACCTGTGGAAAAGAATTTACTGCATGTGTTGATGGTGATGCATACGTACCTTTGGTGGAGGATGAAAATTTCTTGCCTTTGCTCCTGTACCAATTCCAGCTACTGTCATTTGTGACGCTAACAATCTTGTTAGATGAGAAACCTAAAAGTTAAATGAACAGCATATATACACTCCAGCACACAACTAAGCACAAGCAGATAGAAGAAAGAAGGGAGTGTGAAACAGCGCAGCAAATTGTAATGGCTATTACTTTGTAACTGTGTGAGAGTGTGGGGGAACTCTTATGCTTGTGTGTACTGTGTTGTACAGAGAGAACCCTGAGGGAGGAGATGTGAAAGCACGACAAGCAGCTCGTGGCTGAGAGAGTGTTACGTGATGTGGACGCACAGACGGGAAGGGGAGGTGCGCCAACAAGCAACCCAGATGAAAGAGATGAACCACAGCTTATTAGAGACTTTGAAGACTGGTGTTGGTGATGGGAAAACAGCATAAGGAAATGAAGTTAATCTGGTTGTCAAAAAAATCAGTGACAAAGAGAGGAACATTGAACAAATTCTCAAAAACATACAAAGAGACAACCGCCGCCATCAAGCTGGTTCAAGAACTGTCTGGAATGAAGTACTGAGCTTATCTGCAGCAGCCGACTTCAATGAAGTGAGGAAACCCATTGATGGAGGCCTATGAAGCACTTAGCCCAACTGCAGCAGCAGACTACAAGAAAGTATAACGGCTATTTTCGGAGATATGATACGAGTGAGAAGACACCAGAGCCTGCCACTCCAGACTGACGCGAAACAAGAAAAGCTAAAGCAGGGAAAACAAGACTCCCTAAATTGCTACAACTACAACCAGAGAGGAAACCTTACAAGAAACTCTACTGCAATGACAAGATCGTTCATGAAGTTGATGTGGAGAGTGATGCTACGTACTCCCATAGGGATGGAGGTGGGGGTGTGGGGTAGGGCTGTGGTAGGGGAGGTCTTAGAGAGGCGTGGTGAGGAAAAGGTAAAGAGGTGTAGGGGCAACAGGGGAGAGAAAGCTAGAGAAAGGGAGTGGGGATAGAGAGGTTTTGAAAGGGGGTGCAGGTTCGGGCAGGGCAAGGGCAAATTCGTGAGGAGTGGTTCTACTGTGGTGTGCCGCTCAACAGACGCGGTACCAAAGGACAACACAGGTTGCTATCACATGATGGTAAGTGAGGAACTCCTTTCATACAGGGAGGGTTCTGAAAATCGGATGTGCTCATGGGGATGTACGTACGTACACTCTTGATAATCTGAAGCTGGAATTGGATGACAAAGAGGTGGATGTTGTAGCAGCTGTGTCGATCAAATCCGTTAACTCCTCCAGACCACCCCTTCCTCAAAAAAGGTGATTACCAGGCAGTCATGGTAACCTGAGGACAGGCCAGAAATACTTCGGCAGTGAAGAAATTACCGCCAGAAGGACCAGCAGATTGACATCAAACTCAAAATGGTCCTGCCTCCAAACCCTCACCTGAATAAGAACTTCAACTCTTCCATCTAATGTAGATGGCAACTTCTCTGAGAACCAGACACACTAAGTAACTGACTAGGTAGAAGAGAGAAAAACTTCAACAATTAGGCATTGTGTGGGCCAATGAAACAAACCAAACCAACCCAAAAATCTTGAGGGAACAACTGGAAAAGTTGAAGGACATGCACACGAGACTGTCAGATTGTCTGTGAATGAGAGCATTTATTTCAAGAAAAAGCCTTTTTGTATTTTGGCTGGAGTTATGAGCTGCTGGACACCTGTGTGTGTAGAAATTGGTTGCTACAAGCTGGCTCACTCGGTACCAATGTCCGGTCACCTCGACAAGAATAGGTGAGCGGCAGCGGCAATGAAATCGACCCATGCACCAAGACATTGCTAAGTTCTGTTGTGGCTGTGCAGAATGTCGAAAGGTAGAACGTTCAGCCTATATGGTGCTGATACTAATTATCATGGAGCAACTCCGTATGGTCATGATTGGCAAAGAAGCCGTTCTGGCAACAAGTATGTGCTTGTAATCTGCAACACGATACCCAGAAGTGATCGCTGTCAAGAATACTGACACACAGTTCAGCAGTTCACCAGAATTAGAGTACCATACAAGACATTGATAAACCAGTGGTCCAGTTTCGAATAACAGCTGTTAAGTGAGCTGTACTGTCCTCTCCATGTAAACTCCAGCCCGAACCACTCCTAACAGATCAGTTAAGTGGTCTGTCTAGCTACGTATAACAGCCCATTCATCTTCGTTTGGACATATGTAAGCATACTCTAAGAGCAGCTCATCCACAGCTTAATGTACCACAAGAAGATCTTGATGTGCAGTAAATATTCGTGTGAGACCATTACCCATGAGGGGTAAAAGCAATGCGCTCGGTATATCAAATGGCAAACAAGATAATACAATGTCCCCACCCCATTTCAGACTCATCCCCTACACAACTGTGTTTTTATTCCCAACCGTATCATCGGCAAGATAAATTATGCTGCTTATCTCAGTAATGTAGAGAGGGCGGAGCCCCAGAAAAGGTGCAACCCCCACTAAGGGGTGTGTGGCAACACTTCCAACAACTCCTGCACAATGGTTTGGATTTCGGTGACAGCGGCTCCTGACAACACAGTCTCCGGGAACGACGTGGAGGGAGAGGCACAGTGGTAGCCATGTGCGGTAGAGAAGCTCACCAGTGGTTTGTTTTTGTTTTTTTATTTAAGGTATACTTACAATGTTTCAACATATCTTAAGAGGTGTAGAGGGGTGAGAGAAGGTAATGTGGACTTCGAACAGAGATTATCTTGCTACGTTATCATGAAACCCTGTTAAAATTGACACTGACCTGTGCGTCTGTACCAGCAGCAGCAATAGGTGTGTACGAGTTCCGAAATGTTTTAGGCATAAGAAGAGGAAGACTTTTTATACTTGCCATTACCAAATCTGTAACTGCGTCAGGTGTCAGATGTGACTTTAAATCTATTGAAAATATGGATGCCTATATCATAAACAAGTAAATAAAAAATTCCTCGAATTAAAGAAGTGTGGAATATAGGGATGCCATAAAAAGTAAGGAGACAAGACAGGAGGGATGACCTGGCTAGTGATCGTGATGCAGTAGGATGATGGCTACATACTTTGAACTGACATCACTTGCTCCTGTAAAATTTCCCCCACACAAGCCCTCTATTGTCGCGAAGTACGAGTGTGCTCCCTTGTATGATGCACAGCTACGATTTATTTCATAAGTGCATTACACAGGTCGTAAGACTTCTACATTTGCTCAACTAACCAGTTTTACAATGCTGCGTTCTTGGCCATCTACATACAGAATCCTTTCACCATTGTTCTCACACTTCACTAAAGGTGGCGACAATATAGGGCTTGTGTGGAGGAAATTTTACAGGAGCAAGAGCCATGATCCATTTTTAATTCGAACACTTTTTTTATTTACTTGTCTCCTTCCTTTTTTCTCTGCATTCATGTTTACATTTTGATACTAATGATGCATCTGTGTACAAAGTTTTATCATTCTGGGTGTTTGCTCTACCTAGTTAGCACATTATATTTGTGTATATCATCATGTACGTATGGCCTGGGGCTATTTTTTACAAACAAATTAATATGTTCTTGCACACCGGGACACGGATTCCAATATTTGTGCGAAATTTCATCTCCATATCGTAAGTGGTTTTTGAGATACGCTTGTCTAAACTGAACAACAACAACGAGAAGAAGATAGGTCATCCTTTCTTGTCAAAGTGGAATGTAGGGATGCCATAAAAAGCAAGGAGACAAGAAAGGATGACCTAGGCATAACCTAGCCATTTTTCGCTGCACAAACACATTTTACTAATAAAAACTTGTAAATGATGTTTGTGCCTATAACTTGCTTAAACTTGGTACACCGATGTACCATACTAACAGTTCATTGAAACAGAAATTACAAGGTTGTAAACAACAACAAACAGCCTCAGGCAAAAAAGGCTTTTAAATTGTGTCAGTGCCTATAACTTGCTTACGTATGACGCGTCCTCTCACAATGAAACTTGGTGCACTGATATAATGTGAATGACGACAAAATGTCTGAGGCGATAGCTTAAGGCCCCTAATGTTACTTTTATGCCCAAAAGTATCCCCTTTTTATTGCACACCATGCATTAACAACAAACAGCCTAAGGCAATAAAAACTTGTAAAATGTGTTTGTGCCTATAACTTGCTTATGGTGGGTCCTCTAACAATGAAACTTGGTACACTGATGTACCATGATGAGAGTTCATCGAAACAGAACTACAAGTTTGTAAACAACAACAAACAGCCTCAGGCATGTAAATGATGTTTGTGCCTATAACTTCCTTATGGTGGGTCCTCTCACAATGAAACTTGGTACACTTATTTACCATGATAAGAGTTTATGGAAACAAATTACAAGTTTGTACACAACAACAAACAACCTCAGGCAATAAACTTTTGTTTGTATAAATATTACATGGCAAAGCTACGTAGCTAGCTGTGCATATCACTAAGTACGGTAGTAAATAAAAATCCTTCGAATTAAAAAAGTGTGGAATATAGGGATGGCATAAAAAGCAAAGGGATGACCTAGTGCATTAGTACTGTGGGATGATGGTTACACCTTCAAACTGACATTGCTTGCTCGAGTAAATTTTCCTCAACACAAGCCCTATATTGTCGCGAAGCATGAGTGTGCTCCCTCATAGAATGATTCATCTCCTAAGCACGTGATGCACAGGCGGCTCCTCAGTTTTTGGTTGTGACTGCATTGTGTGCAGTCTATGACTTCAGTGTTCGCTCAACTAATGATGAGTTTTACGTACAATGCTGTGTTAGTGGCCCTCCAGAGAATCCCTTTACAGACTGGTCTTATTATTCTTGAGAGAGGGGACTCGACTGAAGAGTGCCGGTTAAATGCACGGTCATTATAATCTCTTGCTAGCACGAGTGATCTCTATTGTATGATGTGCAGCTATGACTCGTTTCTTATGCACGACTGGATTGATGTGTCTCAGTCTCACCATTGTCCTCACACTACACAAATTCATGTTGTGAGAAAAGTGGTGACACCATAGGGCTTGTGTGGAGATTTACACGAGCAAGCAATGTCAGTATGAAGATGTAACCATCATCACACTGTACTAATGCACTAGGTCACTACCGTACTTAGTGATAATATTTCACCTAGCCAACAATATAGGGAATGGGTGATGGGGTCAGGGTGTCAGCAAGCTCTAATTTGGTCATTAACAATGCTTATGTATCACATCCCTATCTTGTCTCACTTTCTTTTTACACCATCCCTATACGTATGCCTCTTTTTTAAATTCACAGGATTATTAATTTACTTCTCTCCACTCGTTTTTATATACTACTACGTATATCTCTGTGAAAGGGGGCAAGCCCCCTATAAAAATTAATAAGAGAGAAAGATGCCTGTTGTCGTCATGGAAATGATTTAATACGCATGCGTACCAGAAGCCATTTGTTTTTGTTCAAACAAGAGGTGGTCGTCATGCATACCAAGTTTCATCTCCATGAGTCCTACAGTTAGCAAGTGTAGAAGTAAATGCCTGAGGCTATTTTCGTTGTTCAAACAATGTGGTCGTCATGGAAACGATGTAATACGCATGCATACCAAGTTTCATCTCCATGCGTGCTATCGTTAACAAGTTTGAGGAGTGAAGAAGTAATTTTAAAGTAAAGTGCCTGAGGCTATTTGTTGTAGTGGTTGTCATGGAAACGATGTAATACACATGCGCACCAAGTTTCACCTCCATGCATGCTAGTTTGAGGAGTGAAGAAGTAATTTTAGAAAAGTGCCTGAGGCTATTTGTTGTTGTGTCGTCATGTTATACACAAGTTTCAAGAGTGAAGAAGTAATTTTAAAGTAAAGTGCCTGAGGCTATTTGCTGTTTTCAGGTTGTAATGGAAACGATGTAATATGCATGCGTACCAAGTTTGAGGAGTGAAGAAGTAATTTTAATGAAAAAGACTATGTGATTGTTATGTAGTTGTCATGGAAATGATGTAATACGCATGCGTACCAATGTTCATCTCCATGCATGCTACCATTAGCGAGAATTCCCGAGTCCATTTGTTGTTGTTCAAACAATATGTTGTCGTCATGGAAACATGGTGTTGTCATGGAAATGATGTAATACCCCATGCGTACCAAGTTTCACCTCTATGCGTGCTACCATTAGAAAGTTTGAGGGGTGAAGAAGTCAATTTAAAGAAAAGTGCCAGAGCCTATTTGTTGTTGTTTACAACAAACATACGATGTTGTGATTTTGATGTTGGTGATTGAATACATTAACACTAAGTACGGTAGTACTTAGTATACAAGTAAATTAAACATCCTGCGATTTTAAAAAGGTGGCATATAGGGATCGTATAAAAAGAAAGGGAGACAAGATAGGGATGGTGTTTGTGGAAGCAAAGAGATGCTAGCGAGGAGTTAGGACTCCCACAGGTCATTACAACAGCCCTATATCGTCGTATCGGTGCTTTACTACTTCCTCGTGAATATATCAGCCAACCTTGCATACTTGAATTTTGTTTTCTTGCGTTACACACTTTTTCCATGTTTCCATGGATATACATGTATATCCAATGTTATGGGCAGCTGATTACACTTCCACCTAAATGCGCACTCCATGGAAATGTAGCATGACAAATCTATGAAAGGTAATTAGTAAGTACTTCATTACCTATAGCAATATTCTACAGACTCTCTCATCACTCCCACTCCCACCCTACGAAGAAGATTGAAAACTTTCCCTATCATAGCCCCATACATCTATGATGCTAGGTACTCCCACCGTACGACGATATAGGGCTGTTGTAATGACCTGTGGGAGTCCTAACTCCTCGCTAGCATCTCTGTGCTTCCACAAACACCATCCCTATCTTGTCTCCCTTTCTTTTATACGATCCCTATATGCACTCTTTTTTTAAATTCGCAGGATTTTTAATTTACTTGTACAAACTTTCTTTCACATAGCTCTTACCAATTGTGAGTTACACCGACACATCTAGTATGCCAATTAAAATGTATTGCCTGGGGCACTTTTGTTGTTGTTTACAGTAAACAACATTGTTTACAAACAAAAAAGTATGACGTTGCCCATGTGGTTATCGATATGTACATTCCTAAAAAATTTCATGGCTTTCTCTCTTTCGGTTTTTGAGTTATGCTGGTTGAACAGGAAGAAGAAGAAGATGAACAAAACTCCCTATCATAGCCCCATACATCTATGATGCTAGGTACCATGCCTATCCCTATCACTAAGTACGTAGTGATAGGGATAGGCATGGTACCTAGCAGGCATGGTACCTAGCATCATAGATGTATTGATAGGGAGTTTTGTTCATCTTCTCCTTCTCCTTCTTCTTCTTCAGATTCAACACCCATAATTCAAAAAAGAAACAACATACAGTAATCAAATTTTGTAAGAATGTAGAGATATCCATCACCCGAAGAGACTGGTCGTACTTACGTATTTGTTTGTAAACAACAACAAATAGCCGGTACCACGCATGGAGATGGAACTTGGCACGCATGTGTGTAACATCGTTTCTATGACGACCACAACAACAAATAGCCACCTTTTTTCACAAGCCTCCAAAACAAGCTTTAAAATTATGTCCACTAAATTCCACTTTTTATGTTTACCATAAGCAAATGCTTACGGGCTTACCTGCTGCTGTCATTTCTACAGCTTCAATATTGCTGTATCCCGTTCTAGAGTCTTGAGATTCTTCAAACTGTAAACTCCCAACTGCATCAGGCTGTAAAAGCAAAAATTACATCTACACAGTACCCGACTTTAAATATTCTAAACGAACCTTTATTCTTTTTCCAGGAATGAAAATATCACTGTCAGTTCTGAATAATAATTGAATACTTACCCCGGAAAGCAAACTTATAATGCAGAGCGCAATCAGATTGGTCAGTGACCTTGTAAACAAGACCGGAAAAATGCCACATCCAATTCATTATAAGTCACAAGCATTACTGCACTGCAAAATATCGACGCCAAAAAACTTTATATGTAAGTAACAGATATGTGCATACACCCTTACTCTCATGAACATTTACCTTGTTCTCTTCAATTTTGGAGAATTCTTTAATATCTGCAAGTTAATAATGTTACACATTGAGAGTTAAACTATCCCTACGAGTGCAAATAAGGTTCTTAATATCTCATACGCAACCTCGTAGCTTTTCTTAACATGAAAGCTTGATACTAACCTTGTTCACTAACAAGTTACACACAATTTAGGAAATGTATGCTGTATCTTTAATGGGAATTAGTGATATCTTAAGGGGGGTACAGTGACATGACAGCATTTTTTTTTGTTGGTAGGTTGAATTTTACTATGCCAAGGGCTGCCAAATTAATATATTCATGTTTTCAGGTCCCATTTTTTTAACCCTCGGTGTGCATGCGCAGAGAGTGTTACAGTAGTTGGTTTGTCCGTCTGTCTGTCTGTCTGTCTGTCTGCCTGTGTCGACGCTTATTCTGGCACTACAGGCTACGAGGCGGCCTTAGCGATACCAGCGGCTTCAGAAATACACGAGCCTTAAAAATAATGGCGATTTTCCTGAAACGACCGCGTTCGAGAGATATGCCGTGAAAACAAGTGAAAAAGCCAATATGCATTATCGCACTGGACTTACCGCGACCTGATCCGCTCGCTCTGTGTACCTTGGGGGCTCAGGAAGTCACAACGAATGGCATGCATCGATGCTATCTACGGCTGTAGCTAGCCCGTGTCAGACTCTCCGCGAGCTACTAGCGGGAGACCACGAGTAAAACGGATACAATAGCCCAGCCCATTAATTAGCAGTATCGCGCATGCGCAGTTCGCCGAGGGTTTCCAGTTTAGTGCTTTACATATGCATAGGAGCAGGAAAAAAACATTAAATGGAAGTCGCAAGGATGTTCGCACATACTTGCACAATTGCAGTGGACGGATTTTATTGGTGTAAGTTTGGACCAACTTGTTGGGAGGCAAAAAATTCCTACATGTCCTGTTCCATGCTCAGGCATGTCAGCTACATTTACATGGAACAGGATATCAAGCTCCCAACAAGTTGTCAAACCGTTACGCATGTATGTGCAAGTGTGTGTGTACCTTGTATTTAATGCACATTTGCAGATTTTTTCTGCTCCCTTAGAAATGTATGGGACCCCTAGTCCATTACCTCTCGGCACGCATGCGCAGCGAGGGTTACTGTAGTTGTCGTGTGTGTCTGCCGTTCCACAACATCTCACTTCACGAGCCATCAATTGCTCTACAAACAATAGCATGTATTCAGCGTCAGATAAAGGTCGACAAATATGTAGGATATTCTCTGAATCTGCTGCGTTCGAGAGTTATGGCGTGAAACACGAGTGAAAAAGCCAATATGCTGATGAAACAGGCTTACCTTGAGCGGATCCACTTGCTCTGTGTATCTGGAAGGCATAAGAAGTCACAACGAAGGGCATGTATCGACTCCCGTATGCTATCTAGCAGCCAATGTCAGGCTCTCCGCGAGCTACTAGCAGGAGACAACGAGTAAATGCATACTATAGCCAAGCCCATTAATTAGCAGTACTGTGCACGCGCAGTTCGCTGAGGATTTGAACTTCAGTGCTTTTTCAAGAATATATTAATGAGGCATCAAACAAAGCCAGAAAAATCAGGAAAAAATATTATTATTCTTCCTTGGCATAACCCATCAAGTTGAAAAATGTTGTCATTATGTGAAAGAATTTTGGCGACATGTAGTGGGTTACACAGGGCCGTATCGAAGAGTACGATGGCATGAAAAGGGATTGGTTGCTTTACATGGAACGCGTAATATTTTTTTACTGAGGCTGTCTGAAATATGCTGAACACTGGTAGTAAGGAAGAGAAGCATCTCAAGATGTTGGGCAGGTGCCTAGCCATCTCAACAAGGTGGGCCTAAGAGGGCTGTCCACACTGGACTTGACTGGTGGACTAGACTGGTGGACTGGACTAGTCGACTCGTAAATTACACCCCCGCAAGAGCTTTTTGTCGCCTTCTGTGGAAGGACTAGGGCGACCCTGAATCTCACACTGGCCCATAATAGGCCTGCTAGCAGTAGTTCATGAGCGCTAGCACTGGTAGAATCTATGCCTCGTGTCAGCCTGAGATGGAGCATCAGTGTTCACGGATGGCATACACGGAGCCAGCGTTCACAGCTTCCCTACTTTTCTGCGACGTTTCTCGAAGGACTACGACGGCACTGGATCGTACACAAGCCTGTAGAGACCTTGAGAAAAACCTTCTGGGTGGACGTAGACTGTGCATACTTCATGCTGTCTGTCAAAAGCTAGATATAGGCAATGGTATTTTTCTCTCCACCTCTGTTGCACTATGCGGTTTATGGGCAGCCAAGTCAAGTACTGCATGTAGCTGTGCTGCACGAGTACAGTGAGACGTACGTATTCCTGTGCATGTGTGAATGCCGGCTAAATGCCACTGTGCACGGCAGCAACAGTCCCAACTACAGCTATGGACTCTACAGGCAGGTGGATGGTCCAGAGTCATCATTGTCCTTACAGAAGGATCACAAAAGGCTTTGGCGGGGGTTTAATTCGCGGGTCCACTAGTCCAGTCCACCAGTCCAGTCCAGCAATTGTAGACAGCCGACCTAAGACTCCATGAGAGTCTTCTCCATGTATGCTACTGTCAGCAAGTGTGAGGAGTGAAGCCTTATGCTATTTGTTGTTGTTTAAAAATAAGTGGTCGCCCCGAAAATGCTGTAATACACACCTACGTATATCAAGTTTGACATCCATGAGGAGCAAATGAAAAGTGGCTGAGGCTATTTTCGGGAGTGGTGATATTTTCTGGCTTCAAAGATCCTAGACTAGATATTGACTTTCTTTTCCTTTTCTTATCTCACCGGCTCGTTGACCGGAACCTCGAAGCGCAATAATCATCTACCCAACTGTTATTCTAAGGGACCATCCTTAATTGTCATGTGCCAAAACACAATGCCTAATGGGACCATTATCAGGAATGATTGAGGATCAGTTTTTAATGTCTCTTGCGTTGATTACTTACAAGAAATCGGGCATAGAGACCATTCTACTCATCAGTGCGTGGCACTGCATATTGGCTGTGCTTTTCGTACAGAATATGTAAACAAGTCAGTATAACCCCATCTGTGCATATCACACAATTGGATGATGGCAAGCATAGATGTAATGAGGGTTCTAACTTTTCGTAGAACTACCGGCTAGCGACTAAGCTCAACTTAGTTACCTTGCATAAATTTATGAGAGTAGAAGAGTGAACCTAGATGCTGTTTAGCAGCAGAGCGAGTTTCAAGTCATTGAGACAGAGCCCATTTCTCATGGTGGTGTATACTCAGGTTTGTGTATACTTTGCTTGTGGGATACTTCACGGACACTTCAAGCCTGGCTAAACGGGCTACAAACGGTGCCTATTGTTGAAGATGTAGTTCTAGGGTGTTGTGCACCTAAACATTAAAGCACACCTGTTCCAGGAACAGTCTAGGATGCACACAGGTGCAGTAGAATACCGCGAACTATCATGAAAACTTGGCAGCCAATAACCTAACCTTTGCATTAGCCTAAAAGGTAACATAGGACTGCTCCAGCTAGAATTCGCCATTGTCTAAGGCGGTTAGGCACCTCGCGGAGCACTACTCAATTTCATATGTAAACCGCCTCAGTTACTATTGCATCATCCGCGACATCCTACTCTGCATACAAAATCTCGTAGTACTTCCATTTAGTTGCATACACATAGGGTGAAATCAGTTGCTACATCACTACTCTCATCATTTATCTTCGGCACACATGCTCAGTGAGGGTTACCGCACTTGGTTGGCAAATGTGTCTGCCTCATGTTTTACATCCGTCACCACGTTTCGGCTACCATGTGCAACACACTCGCCACAAACAGATTGAGAATGACACTGGACTGTGTCAAAACGTAAAAACCAAGATAAAAAGCCAATATAGAATATGCAAATTACAATTGCCTTAGAACTGGTTACATACTGTGGAGGCACCATAAGTCCCGACACATAAGTTCAGCGATAAAAGCTAGACCGTGTATTAGAGTATCTAAGCATCTTCAAAATTTAGGATCAGAAAATATAGAAAACTTGTATATACCTCATACCTCAGCTTGGCTACATCCAAGATCAGTCAAAAGGGTTGTTATCTGTTCTTTGCTTTCCACTATAATAAGCAAAAAAGATTGATACTACGTAACTAGTCTTACACCACATTATTAAAGTGCAAACCCTCGGCGCAAAAGGAACGTGGATATCTTGCACCCATTTGCAAAAAGTCCCTCTTATCAATAGGCCATGTTGGAACTGGACCAGAAATATAACGCAATGTAACCCGATCTCAGTTTTTTTACTACTATAACTCAGTCTGCACCACAAGTAGCACTTAAAAGAACTGAACACTGGATACACATCATCAAAAACACTTCCTGTCTTTGCAATGCGCTATGCGAGATAAGCCATTGCGTATTAGAACAAGTAAATAAACAAATCATCGAATTACAAAAGTGTGGAATATAAGGATGCTATAAAAAAGCAAAGAGACAAGACAGGGATGACCTAGTGCATTATTACAAAGGATGAAGGTTACATCTTCTAACTGACATTGTTTGCTTGCCTCCACACAAGCCCGACTTTAGTCCAGACAACTCTTACAAACAACATCATTTTTCGTCAGGTATTGTCCAGGAAGAGAGAGTCAAAAGAGGCGAGGGCTGAGATCAGAATCAGTGCACCCAACTAACATACAAATGAAAATTGGTCAGAACTAGGATCCAAGTGTTGTCTACTGCAACATCTAACAAGCAGCGATGAACAGCCAGATCGTAGGAATTAATGTAAGGACTTTTAATTTTATGAACTGTGACAAGTGCAAAAATATGACTACAGTTGGCCCATATTAATTTATGGCACAAAAAGGTCAATCCTTAGGCTTACACCTCTGCTTTACATATTCTACAGGTAGGCACTCCGTTGCGAGCAGTACATAGCTCCACAAACTCTATGCCTCTACGCCCTTTCTAGGTGTGGCAAAATGGTGCTAACCTGGAAAAAAAAAGAACTGTAAAAGTTTGTTGGCTAAATGCTGATGATTTTGATTCTGTTTCAGCATGCGTACTGTGTACAGAGGGTGTGCACATGATTCTTGGCGGCTTTTTTGCATGAGAAAGCAACACATAGAGCTAGAGAGACAGAGAAAGAGTGGTACTATATACCTAGAGAGACAGACAGAGAGGGGAGAGGGAGCCTCTTGAGTAAAGAATGAAGGAGCAGAGTGCTTCCAACTTACTGCCTTCATAAATAACTACTATGATCCTAGTGACTCAGCTGCCGTTGTTGCTGACACGAACCTGCAAAAGGCCTGTGATGTATATAGTAGAGGAGGAGGTGGTTCAGACTGCAGACACCGAAAACAATGTGAGTTGGATATCATAAATCTGTGCGACGTTATAAATAGCGATGGCCCTGTTTTCATAGGGTGGTGGTGACATCCCGTCCAAAAGCGTTAAAAATATATTTTGTAGCTGATGAGTGCAACTAAAACATCTGAATAAAGCATGCATAAGTTTACGAGGCAAAAGTTTTATTCCATTTTTTTGCTCTCAAAGATTTATTGCATAAGAAATAGCTGCCCTGGCAACTTCAATGGAGGTTTTATTGTACCTGGACACAGGTTGCAAGGAAAACTGGAGTGGTTGTGTGAAGACAGCGATTTAATTCACCCGTATTCGCTGTACAGTGGAAGAAAAGATATTGTACTGTGGTTTTTCCTAAGAATGGAAAAGTGGCGCTTCCGAAAAATGGAACAGCATTGATGAAGAAAACAACCTGAGTTTCTCCATATGATTCAAATTGTGACAAGATGAATGAGGTTTAAACTATTCGAAAGATATTCCAAGAGAAACACAATACTAAAATATTCTTCTGAGTAGTTTCACACTAAGGCAAACCTTAATGAAACATACATCCTTTGACGACCTCCCACATTCTTTGGGGGTTATAAGAAGCGGGTTGGGCACCTGGATGACAGTAGCACAGTGTCTGTGGCATCCGTCTGTGACATTCGTCCGCAACGAGTTAAAGAGAGGTGTGTCTCCCGAGAGAAGGTTAAGCACGTGCAGTGAGTTGATCAACAAACTTGGCAAGTGTGTAAGTCTCCTAGAGAACGGTGCACTTTCACAGGAAGAGATAATGAGTTACGGAAGACTGATATCCAAAATTTCTCTAAGCCCAATTAACAGCACAGGAATTTCAATTCAACTATAACCACAGTGCATTATCCATGAGTTAAACCTATAAACTGTGATGTATATTTAAGAGCAAGCGGATCAGGTCAAGGTGAGCTAGCATACTGCGTCGATCGCATCTAATACACGCATGCGCACCGCTTATGGATGGGTTGGGCCACGCAACGCTGTCCGCGACCGTGCCAGTTTGTCGCTCTCGAACGCAGTCGTTTCAGCAAAATCGCCATTTTATTTTTCTATCCCATGTACCGCTAAAGCTGTTGGTATCGCTCATAAGCCGCCTCGTAGCTTGTAGTGCGAGAATAGTCGCGGTCAGACACACACACACACACACACAGACCAACTACTGTAACCCTCGCTGTGCATGTGCACCGAGGGTTAACTAGCTGTTCTCTTGGATAGTTCATATTTTCAGTCAAATATCTGTTCAAACTTCTACACCCCTTTCAATGGCAATTTTAGTACTTTCTTCCGGGTCAAACTGTGCCTGTACAATAGTGGAAGGAGACAAACTTTCAGCATTCTTCTTGAATTTGGTAACATAGATCTGGCAGGTATAAACATGGATTCTCAAGAACCACACAATAATTAACATCTATTCAGTACCAGTAACAACACGCAAAGCAGCCCTTGCTGGATTGTGACAGTTCAAGACGTCCCGGTGTTTCGAAAACGTTGTGAATTGTACCTAAAGGGACACTGAAAGAGTCCCGGTTTATCCCGATCCTCTGCCAAACTATTGTAGCACTCTTAGTCCAGTGCGCTCGTGGGTAACAGTTCCTGTGTTGCGCAGCGACAGTGCAGTCCGACAGAGACTCTGATATCTCACAATCAGTCGCGATCTTTTATAGCTAGCTACTGACATATGCAGTGGTGATAACATACACCCCATAGTGGCTAAGAGAACAGAGGACATAACCATAACGTGACAACAGACAAGTTTATGAACAGTCACTTCTGCAGTCGGGCAGACAGTGTGGTACCAATGTAACAGGCCAGGTTTCCTACACTATTCTCCAGCGCAGATCAGGGGAATAATCTACTCTCCTCCTAGGCTCATCAGAGCAGATCATGAGGGAGTTCAAATTTTGTGAATTGCGCAACAAAGGATGAACAAATGCAATCACACAAGCACAAACATGATTGAAATCGTCAGTATACTGCAAACTGTAGAGTTGGCAAAATTTCAGATACAGATTCTCTCTACACCTACAAATACCATTTTTATTTAGAGCATTCAAGTAAATTTAGAGCAAGATAAACACATGAAAACCATTGCAATACAATACTAGCACATTTTGGCAAGCGAAGTGGGTGGTTCTTTTTTCACTCCTTGTCATACGTCTTTAGAATAACGTATAAGATTACGGTGTGGAGAAAAATCCACATTCAGATGACTAGGAAGGCTCGCCAAAAATGTCTAAAGATCAGTCCCAGAAAAACAGTCGGCAAAATAACTTTTTATGACACATATGCACGCATTATAGAGTAGTCTGCCCTGACCAATGTGTGTAATGAGGTTTAGAGAAAAATAGCATTATTGCCCTGGAAAACTCAAATCTGCCAGCTTAACACTGTTTTTAAGGCAGATTCTCTTATTGTTTGTATCCGAATGTCTTCTAATGTAACACACAAGATGCATACACAAGATAACATACCAGATGAAGGATGTCTAAGAAGGCTGAGGACCTGTGTCTAGAGAATAAAATAACATTCTAATGGGTGAAATTGAATACATGGGAAAATTGGTGTAAAAAAGTAACTATATCAGTGCCAGGGCTTACGTACGTGCTTACATTACACATGCACTTACAATTTTGCCTACTTCAGAGTCAGAGTACTCTCTCAGGTTAGGATGACAGCAAAATTTCGCTGCCTCCAATTTTTACATAGCTTTCCTTTTGTGTACTCCAGTATTACAACATACACCTCTGCGAAATAGAGTGCCCGAGGCTATTTCTTGTTGCTCAAACAATAAGTGGTCGTCATTGGAATGATATAATACGCATACCAAGTTTCATCTCCATGAGTGTTTCCGTGAGATACATGCCCTTCGTTGTGACTTATTGTGCCTTCAATATACACAGAGCAAGCAGATCCGGTTGAGGTAAGCCTGTGCTAATTAGCATATTGGCTCGTTCACTTGGTTTTCATGCCATAACTTTACTTTTAGGAAAGTTGCCATTTTAAAATGAAGCCAGTGTAGTGCTGAACCCGTTTAATGTTAGTTTTTGGCCGGTTTGTTGCGCGTGGTGGCAGAAAACGTGGTAACAGATGGACAGACAAAGTACTGTAACCCTCGCTGCGCATGCGCACCGAGGGTTAAAAATCTGTTTGTGAACGATGCTTTATGCATCCCCCATCCCTATCTAGTCTCCCTTTTTTACTACATACCTTGAGTTGTTTCCGGACACTTGTAACTTGAGAAGTGGCAAAGTGTGGAGGCAGGTTCGCTGAAAGTAAATACGATACCTAACTCTTTGACCAGAGAAACATGACCACAGACGGACATACGTAAGCAGCAAGACTGCACATGTAATCGGTAATGCTTACTAATTTTGTGTCTCTACCCCACTTAGGGATTGGAATGGTTCCTAGTCTCGTGCCCAGACCCCGCCCTCTAAACAGGGAAGGGTTTAAATCATTTCCTTGGTTGTGCGGAATCAGCAACCTTACATAACCACACGCAAGTTGGTTTGGATACGCTCGCAACGGAACTTTGTTATATGTGGTTACATGATGCACAGGACGTGATTGGCTTTGAAGACTGCTGAATCAGAATAACCAAGAATTCCCTCTCAACTGTGACCAGACCCTTTTCCTCACTAGAGGGCTGTGTCTGGGCATGGGACTTAATGGTTCCTAGCATCAGAGACATATAAGACTGTAATAGGAGTTTTATTTATCTTCTATTCTTCATAAAAGACATAATTATCCTACTTCCACAGTGGTTATACAAGATATCTGCATCAAGTGTTCGATTTTTGTGACCACATTGCTTAAAATGAAATTTCACAAAAATAGTAATCGTTAAGCAGAGAGTATAGGCCAAGTAGAATGAGGCGAGCATGATATAACGCGCTTATGGTAGACTGTCAGTCCATTGATTCCTTTGACTGACTCTTTACTGGGTCTGAAACATGGCAATGTTCTCCCACAGTACATATACAGATTTAACCTCTGTGACCAAATGCCCCCACAAGCATGCGAAAGACCCTTCCTTTGATGCTCGCTAAGTCTTTGTGACTTGACATTAATGGAACATACCCCGTCTTCTTATCTTTAAAAAATACCCCTTTCACTGCGGGGTTAATTGCACTCTTCATATTACATGATACTCTATGACAGCATTTAAAAACAGGTAAACTAGCTAAATACAAGTCCAGGCTTTCCTTTAAGTAAGAGATAATGTGCGTTTAGAGTTCTATACGTGATTTATAGGAACGAGGGGTGTTCCCATAAGTCATGTATAGAACGATAGGACGCACATTATGTGTTTTATTGTGACTTTGTAGCAGTCGTGGACCTCCAGCGAGAGAAATACGACTGCGTAGCCTACTACTCATGCGCACGTGCGCATTCGCTGGCTTCTCGAGCGAGTTCTCTGTTCTCGAGGCTACCGTAATCGAACAAGGTCCTGATGGTGGCTCTTTCTCCCTCAAAGAAACTCGTTTCATAGGTCGCTGGGCCGTTTGACCGGTCGGTGTGCCACGGCCGCGGTCTCGCTTGCCACTTGGAGCTGAATGAAGGGGTGTGGTCGCTTCAGCCATCCCTCGCCTCTACAGCCTCTACAGAACAGTCATCCCTCGCCTCTAAAGCCTCTACAGAACAGTTTTTGTCTACACTATGGGTATATACGATGCTGATGCTAGTTCAATAATTTTTTATTGAACGTTCAATATTAGACATATTGAACGCATACTACAATATGGGAAATAAAAGTATGCGCGGCTCCTTTGATCCGCCCACGCAAGTCACAATAATGTTACATACAACCAGCAGGTAAGCATTATAGAGTACAAGTCTAAAAGAGGGGATTGTTTCGATAGTCTGCATAAGTGGGTAAGGTCAAAGCGACTTCAAGGGTAAATGGTGACCGGGACAAATCCAGCTGGACGTCAAGTGTTTGCTGTGACAATAGAAGGAAATTGTTCATACCTATGCTATCTGCATAAAGAGTGATTGATCAGTTTTGACAGTGTCAGTAAGGCAAAATCCACTGCTACTGCCACCAAAAGCCGAAAAGTTACATTCAAGACTGGGAGTGGATTACGAAGAAAGAAAAATGTGGATAAGCTCAAGTGCAAGGTGTTTCGATTTAAGTCAGCAATAGAAGGCTGAAAAATGCTAAAAGTACGGCATTTAGGACGCTGACTCCGTTCCAAAATAGCAACATTAAAGATCACTCTGACACACATGCTCATACAATGTTAAGTCAGAAACAGTCCAGAAGTCACTTATGCTCCAAGCACAATTAGATATTGTATGTAGACAGGAATATTCTCTGTGTCAAAGGAGCTCTGAAACTGACAACTTATCCGAAAGCAATAATCAGGCCATTGTTTAATTATTAGTGGAATACCTTTCAACGTTCCATCTCTGTCTGCACATGCATTACTTCATGTACCTTAAAACAGCCATTGCCAATGGGAGCCAAAGCTGTCCCAGGTGCAATCTTGCATTCTCTAGGTGGCCTTTAATGCCAAAACCCCACACAGAACAGCATTTACTGCACTTGAATATCATTTGCAAGTATTATGTGGGAAGCCTGTGTTGGAGGACTATTCAAAGCTGTCTACTAGCAATTTTCGTGATTGATGGTGAGCAATGCAGGCTGTTGGCTGACATTGGCACTGATGGTGCACCTGCCAAATTGCTACTGCTCGGCTAAATGGTTGAGGGGGAAAGGAGGTTCCTTGGTTGAACTGGACTTGGTGTTTGAGCCATAGTTATGAACTCGCAGCAAAAGGAGGCATTAAAGGGCACATGTTAGAGAAAATGCTCTTCCAGTTTCTTAAATTGGCTGCATTGAACAAAATTCCAGTGCTTACTCCAGCCATTTCACAGCTTCGTCTGAGTGATTGCACACAAACTGTGTTGTATAATTTTTTCAGCAGGGTTCGACCCAGTTTCGCATTTTAGACATACTCATTAACACGTACACCATGTGCAATGTGAACAGAAAGTGAGTCCAACCTGGGTTTAGTCAACCCAAGTGCACATTTTTATTAACTTCTTTTCTCCGTGTACAGTGCTCAATTTAGATACTTTTAGGGGTATTTCACCAAACTTCTTCACACTTAAAAAGGCTCAGCTCAAAGTCTCTGCAGCATTGGCACAATACTTACTCAGCATCACAATGAAAGATGCATTAATGTTATCAGCAGTAGCCTCAATAAAACCTGGCTGAAGCTGAGGAACATTCTTCATTCCGCTGTGAGGAGTACTATGCTTCAGTCAGCAGCTGTCTTAAGTCAAGAATTAAAATGGACAGATCCAAAACATGAAATCCTGGTCATGGCAAACAACTAATGGCAGAAACTTACTGATGAAGAAAGCAAGTCTGTCACACACAATAGGGCCATAATGAACAAGTCACTGGACTCTGAGGTTAAATGGGGTACCTGGCCACATTTATCATAACTTCATGGATTGAACACTACAATGGTAAATGCCTCAGTAACATTTATGAGTTTGGGTCACACAAAATGTTCTATAGGGGGATTGTCTGTTTTAAAAAATGCATGGGGATAACTTCATTGATAACTATTGTAGTAAATTACAGTGGGACCTCCCTATAATGAAAATATTGGGACAGCAAATTGTTTAAAAAAATTTTCAGAGGTTTTCCTTATTCAAATATATAGACACACATAGCAGACACAGATATAGTTTTCAACACTGAAGAAGAAGTCCTCTAAACTACTCTGCTTTCTGTTTACAGTGCACGATCGATTACAATGAGGTATATACATGTACAGCTAGATACAGGCTCTTAGACTTTTGCTAGCATATTTTGAAGGCATAGTGGGTCATTCTCGCCAGTTTTGTATGTGGATAACGTGAGATTTGACCCGCGCCATCACTATATAGAGTATACCGACACTCTAATGGTTGACCTAGCAGTAAAAGTACGGTGTAAAAGTATAGCGTGCATGGGCAATTGCGCGTGTGATATTATGTACATGAAAACAAACCCACTTTTCATTAACCCTCGGCGCACATGCGCAGCGAGGGTTATGGTATTTGGTCTGTCTGTAAGCAGCCATTCTCACACTACAGGGTTCCAGGCAGCCCATGACTGATACCGTCTTCAGAACTACGCGAGCCTGAAAATAATGAAAAGGGGATTTTCCTGAAACGACTGCGTTCGAGAGATATGCCATGAAAACAAGCGAAAAGCTAATATGCATAAGCTTACCTCGACCGATCCACTTGCTCTTTGTACCTTGCGGAAGCATAAAAAGTCACCACGGAAGCCCTCCCTGTAACTAGCCTGTGTCAGACTCTCCGCAACCAACTAACGTGGAGACCACGAGTAAACACACATTCATAGCCCAGCCCATCAATTAGCGATATCGACATGCATAATGCGCCGAGGGTTTTCACTTCAGTACTTTCCATTAAAATTGTACTTGGGACAGCACCACTATGGTAACGTTATTTTGTAGCTGAGAGGTTCGCTAAAGGGAGGTTTGTGTTATGCATATTTATTGTGACTTGCGTGGGCGGATCAAAGCTACCGCGCGTACTCTTATTTCCCGTGTTGTAGACGCGTTCAATATGACCAATTTGAACGTTCAATAAAAGAACTATTGAACTAGCATCAGTATCGTACCCATAGTGTAGACAAAAACTTTAGAGGCCTGTTCTGTAGAGTCTGTAGAGGCGAGGGATGGCTGAGGTGACCACACCCCTTCATTCAGCTCAGTGGCAAGCGAGACCGCGGCCGCGGCACACCGACCGGTCAAACGGCCCAGCGACCCGTGAAACGAGTTTCTCTGAGGGAGAAGGAGCCACCATCACGACCTTGTTTGATTACCGTAGCCTGGAGAACAGAGAACTCGCTTGAGAAGCCAGCGAGTGCACACGTGCGCATGGGTAGTAGGCTACGCAGTCGTATTTCTCTCGCTAGAGGTCGACGACTGCTACAGAGTCACAATAAAACACATAATGTGCGTCGCATCGTTCTATACATGACTTATGGGAACTCGGGGTGTGGTCGAGAGACTCATACAGCACGAGGTGCGTTCCCATAAATCACATATAGAGCTCTAAACGCACATTATCTCTTACATAATGGTAAAGTCAGTTGGTACATAGAAATATGTTCATTATAGAGAGGTTTCGCTGTTGGGGGAGTTCATTATCGGAGGTCCCACTGTAAAACAAACTTTGGAGCTTAGGAGAGTGCGCTTCAGTGCATGGTACTGATACGGATGGCAAAATGACCAACATTTGTCAACTGAGACCGATATTATTTCTGACTGCGAATAGAATGAGCAAATACAGTATTTTATGCTATTTACTCTTGAACCTACGTACGTAGCATATATTGTAATGAGCAAGAGCATAACAAAGACACTCTCATACCATGAAGTAGCTCAAAGGTTTGGATGACTGTAGACATATTTGACGGTCTTTGGCGGGCGATATTTGTGAGGCAGCTAATACAAGCCATAAGACTCACACTGGAAGAATAGAAACACCTGACTAAGCACAAGAAATGCATAACATACTGAAACAGACTAAATGGGTTGGAATTAGGGTAATATATTAAAATATGAGGGTCACTAACAACAAAATATTGTAAAAATCTTTTGGTGGCTGAATCATATCAGAAGACAAGTATTGTACCGTAGTTTGGGAAATTTCCGTATGTTAAACTTTCGTATGGGAAAATTTTCGTACAACTCCATTTGTACGAAAATTTCTCAAAATTTTGATGCTTAAAATTTTTTCCTACGTTATAATACAAACTCGAAACGTGTGAACGTGCAAGCATGGAGGAGTTCGGAAGAGACTGTTGTATTCGCGGCTACCATTTATACAAAGAGATATGGCTGGCAGCTATAGGAGAGAAGTTGGAGTGTGACCGAGAACCGCAAAACTCGTGTGATCACTACGCAGTAGCCGTGAAAAACAGTGGGGTGGTCATTTGTCATTTGCCGCGAAAGCTATCGAGAGTCTGTTTGAGAGTCTGTTCGCTGTTTTTAAGGCGTGGAGGTGTTATATCGTGTACGGTGACTGGAGGGCGCAGGTACTCAGTGTCTCGTACGTACACATACCCGTGTAATATTTTCGCCATGGGTAAACTTCACACGTTAAAATTTCGCACAGTAGTCGCTGTAGGAAAATTTTTACAGGTCAAAAATTTCCCAAACTACGGTAATCAGACAACTATGGCTGCGCAGCCGTGCATTATAAAAACTGGCCTCTTAAACAACCTGCAGAAAATATGTCGCCATGTATATATATTAAATAGACACTGACATTTGTTGCAATATCCCTGTTCATATACTTTTCTATCCAGTGGGAAGCAAAAAAAAAGGAGGGCAATATGTTTGCATGCACGATTTAACTGAATGCACATAGTATGCGGGAGGGGTACTCATGAGCTTATTAAAGGTGAATATGGCAGTATTATAAGGGCTAAATTTAGAAATGTTACTAAAAACGGAAGTAAATCGCATTCTCTCACGGTGCCCATATTGCTTTGAAATTTAGCCACTAATAAACAATAGGCCAAAATAGTGTTCTGTCTCTAATTAAAAAAATTGCACAGGAGATGGGTCTACTAGGAGTTTTGTCTTAGAGTCAGAGGCATTTGATGTGTAACAAGAGGTAGCTATGTGTAGTGTAGCAGCTATGAGTATTGCTGCAATGATTAAAACTTACAAATGAAGTAGAACTGCACTGTGCAGGACATCAATTGCAGAGATGTCTCCCTTGTAATACGTTTATAAAAACTATTACAAACCTGGAAAGGGCTGGAGATGCTGTGAGAGACAGCAACGAACCAATACATCTTCCAGCCTCTTCTTGTAGTTCAGCCCGGTCAAGAACACAATGAGGAACAGGAACCTAATTTTACAAAAACACATTGCTATGCACCCTACAGCAGTCCTAATCCTGCAGATTAATGAGACTGCGCAGTTTTATGACATGACGTGTTGTGCTCGGGCTTTGTTTTAGGCGGCTATATCACAAGCACACAGATATTAAATAGTGTAGCAGGGGTAATAGTCATAGCATAAAAAGTTAAGAATATACGTATTAAACAATATGGGGATGGAAAGGGTTCGGAGACAACCTGGACCTGGACGATTTTATTATAATCGGCCCTCCGGGCTCCCCTCAGTGTGCACAATCACTGGGTGTCCTTTCTACTCCCCCCAACTCGGCTACCGAAGGTAGGGATGACATCTGAAGCCTCAGGCTCATGGGGCTGTGGGGCCTGCACGCCAAGCATGGTTCCAGATCCACTGGGACCAATACTCATCACCTTTGTCGATTCCAGAGAAGGAACTGATCCCGATTCTCCTCGGCTGCGCAGCTTGGGGCACAGGCTCGGCCGGCCACCAAGTAATTTGTCATTGCGACAACCAGGTGGTAGTGTCCGGCCTCAAATTGCGCACGGGCAGGGCATCATGCACCTCATTAGGTGACTTGTGTTTATCGAGGCGAAGCTAGGTTTCTACGTGGTACCAACCTACATAAATACAAAGGCGCTCACGATCTGTCACGTCACAATCTCTCGTCATTCTTCTCGAAGGTCCCAGATGCTCACAAAGACCCAACGCCTACGTCTCCCCTCGGTTCAGCACTATTTTCGCAGTGGCCTAGGGTGCTCTACCCAGTCTTCATACAGAGCTGGACTTAAACGGTTCTACGACTTTTGTGTGCGTTACAACATCTCAACAACCTTCCCCGTTACTGAACAGATTCTGTGCTACTTTCTCGCATTCCTCGCAGACCAGGGCCTGGCACCCAAAACCAGTCAGTCGTATCTGTCTGCAGTCCACAGCATGCAGATTTCTCTTGGGTTTCCAGACCCCAGGGATCATTCATCCATGCCCATTCTGAAGAGGGTACAAGCGGGAATCCGTCGTGTCAGGGCCCTCTAAGGATCATCGTCTCCCTATAACCCCAGCAATCCTCCTTCGAATTCACCAGCATCTCCTGACGTCATCAGATCCGCATCGTCTCCTATTGTGGGCAATATCAGCCTCAGAATTCTTCAGCTTTTTTCGTCTCGGAGAACTCCTACCAGCTCCACTGTCATCGACAGTGCTATTCATATAGCATGGGGCGATGTTGCAGTCGATTGGAATGCCGGGCCAAATATGATCCAGATCCACCTCAAACGATCAAAATGCGATCAATTCGGGGCAGGTTCAGATACAGTGGTGGACCATACAGAATCACCCCTCTGCCCCGTGGCAGCATTGCTGGAGTATATCGCAGCTCGCGGAGACAGTGCTGGTGCCTTTTTCATCACCACTTAGGGGCAACCTGCCACAAAACCTTGGTTCGTCACAGAGAAATGTTGCTTGCCCCATCATCGGTATGCCGGACATAGCTTTCGGATTGGGGCAGTCACAACGGCCGCTCTGGCAGGCATCGCAGATTCAACGATCCAAGCCCTTGGCCGTTGGCACAGTGCAGCATTCCTTCAATATATTCGGATGCCAAAAGGCATGCTAGCTGCCGTATCTCGCTCGTTTGCTCACCCATCGCAGCACCAGCATCGGCAACAAGCAAAGGACCACCCAGGCTCATCCCCTGATATCACTGTGTTGAATATAATGGCATGGGTGTAAGTCATCGTTTCCTAACAAGTAGATAACTATTCCCTAAGTTTTGGGGAGAATTGTACCAGTCCCCTCCGGGGCGGGCACTTCCTCCCTTGCTGGATTCGGTCTGTACCTATCCCCTACAGGGGGGGCCTCATCATGACCCCCAAAACAGGCGGAGAGTCACATAAATCTTCGAAGGGGCACGTGACCTACCGGCGATAAAGGAATCGCATAAGTCAACGTGCATTGCATACCGATCGCGATCGAGGACAATCAGTCTGCCACGTACCCCCAGCATAGTTTAGTCCAGCCTGGTGCCCCCCAAAGGTAGAGAAGGGAGGCATTAGGCTCCCTTCGCTGACTTCAGTGTATGCGACTAGAGTTAAACGCCCATCTCTGCAGTTCATGGCCTAGTCTGGCATAGCCACACCCTCTCATATTGAGAGGAGAGGGTCTGGTCTGCATAGCATCAACGACTTGTGCGGAATAACTGAAAATCGGTTATTTTCCAATCAGATTGAAGAACAAACAATTAAAAGCATTCCTAGCTTACGTGATGTCACACTATCGTGGAATGTGCAAAATCAACACGGAAAAGAAACGCGTTCACACAGTGAGCTGAGTTAAAGAAGGTACTGCATAGTTAGCTGAGTTACCACTTTACACTGTGAGTGCCGCGAAGCTTCTAGTACTCTTCGCTGATGGGGACTGTTCTGCACTCCGAAATCAGTGTGAACAAACTGGAGAGCACTGCATTTTCCCCACGCCTTGCCATGTAGGTAGTGGACACGGAGGTAGTGTTCAGCATCTAGAGAGCTGTAAATTTATTCCTGCTGAGCGCTTACATTGCTGTTTCTGCGGGAAAATTCTTTTCCAACTGCAGGAAAATGCAGCACGGTTGCTTGCAATGGTGCTGTCGGTGCCTTTGATACGCCCACGCATCATGCTACAAATAGAGATATTTGCTACTCTCGCCAATTTCTGTTAACACTGATTAAACGCTATTAGATCCAATGTCCCCATGTACTGTTTCATACATCAACATTTGGCCCTCTATTGCTACTGTCATCATTACCAATAGCAACCTATTACAAGTAGAACAAGCAGTTACGTACATGAACACAGGAATTTTCATCTTCTTAAAGTATGGAATAAACTTACAATATCTAAAGACACATCACACTCTGCTCTTTTGGAGAATTCCGATCTCTAGAGTACAAAAATATACAAATAGAGAGGTATCTCAATGTGCTTTAGTATGTGACCTGTTACGGGCAACTACGGGAAACACCCACAACTACAAAGGAACGCTGCAGGGGCGGGAAGCGGCAGATCGACTTCGCTCTAACGTGAAAAGATAAACTCTAGGTTGTTGGTTTTACATAGGTCATAAAGTGGATATGTCACTAGGGAAACACAACTTCCTGAAGCTGAACATTAGTCTTACCTCTTGCAAAACACTGTGAATTTCTAGCGTGTCTGGCTTTCATGAAACTGTCCGACAAACACGACAACTTTTCACACTCAATAAAAACGCACTGCTCCCACAACAAAGACTTTCTGCAGCTCCTCCAGCTCAAGATGTGTGAAAAGGTGTCGTGTTTGTCGGACGGTTTCACGAAAACATCCTGAAGCTGAACATTAGTTCTACCTCTTGCAAAACACTGTGAATTTCTAGAATGTCTGGTTTTCATGAAACTGTCCGACAAATACGACACCTTTCCACACACAATAAAACACACTGCTCCCACAACAAAGACTTTCTGCAGCTCCTCCAGCTCAAGATTAGTCGAGAAAGGTCCAAACTTTGACCCGTTTCTATTATCCCTATTCCCCTACCCCTTTCACAAGGGTACTAATTGTCCTTGCTATCATAACAGACAGGCCTCACCCGTACTATCTCCTTCACTAACCCTCGGCACGCATGCTCAGCGAGGGTTATAGCACTTGGTTCATAAGTGTGTCTGTCCGTCCGTTTGTCTGTCTGTTACCACGTTTTCTGCCACCACATGCAAGAAATTGGCCAAAGAGCAATAGTAACGGGTTTAACTTGATTTTAAAATTCTAAAGTTATGGCATGAAAGCCACGTGAACAAGCAAATATCATAATTAGCACAGGCTTACCTCGACCATGTCCGCTTGCTCTGTGCATCTAGAAGGCACAAGAAGTCACAACGAAGGGCATGTATCGACTCCCACATGCTATCTACTACTGTAGGTAGTCCGTTTCAGACTCTCCGCAAGCTACCAGCGGGAGACCATGAGAAAACGCATAAGCTGGCACTGTGCATGAGCAGTTCGCCGAGGGTTTGCACTTCAGTGCTTTTCATTATTTTTTAGCAATGGTTTTCCTTCAATGTTGCCTAACTACAAAGAAGTATTTGTTGTCTTACATAATTCACAAACAATTAGTCGTAGTAACCAGTGAGCTGACACTTGGTGAAAAATATCTAACGCAAGAGGCATTTTATCAGCATTAATCCAATGCTAACACATGTAAAGTCTGTGAGCATAGAGAGAATCATAATCACTACAATCGAAACCATGCTTACCATTATGACACATCTTACATGAACAACTTATTCTGTGAGCGTGGTTGACAGAATCAGTTGTCAATGTCCAATCAAATGCGTTGCTATAGTGGCCATCGAATGCATACGGGCATGTGTATTTGAGATATGCACAACCTCATAAGAGATAGTACAGCAATAAAGATAAAGCACAAAAGATAATATTTAGCTGCAAATCGGAGAGACTACCACTCTTTAACACACTAAATGAATATCTGATTCTGAGACAACCAAACTACACAGGATTATTAACTGCCAAGCATAATTGCTACATTTTTCCTTTCATTTACAGTGCGTGATTAAGACAAGATGAAGGGTGGTACCTGTTATGAATTTAATAATACAGGAAAC